AATGGCAGGTTACTGAAAATAAACGAATGTATTGCTTCGGTCGAAAAACCTACTCATACAAGCTAGAAAAAAGTGACTACATAGATGCCCTAGCATCAATAGTGACCTGGTTGTTATAATCGACATACCGACGTAACTCTGCATCTGACAATGCATAACCGCAGTTCATATACAAGTTGCGGATCTTGTCAGGGTGCTCATTGATTGAGTCGATTGCGCAGCGTATGTAACCCTCAGGGTCTGATCGAACTAACTCATGCTTATTGTTGCGCTTCATCCAAGCCTTCATCATACTGAAGCAGAGCTCGATTGGATTGAGGTCTGGTGAGTAAGGCGGCAAAAAATGGATTCGACATCCAGCGCGCTGAACAATGAGTTCATATACCCTTTCGTCATGATGGATACGGCAGTTTTCAAGGACAACCACGCTGTTCGGACCAGGGTAGGGGTTGAGAATTGGTAGCAGTTCATGTTCGACGAATTCGACAAATCGATCAGCATTGAAGGATCCCTGAAAGACCGATAAAGCATGCAGCCCTGTCGAGGTAAGTGCAGGCAATATGCTCCAACGTTTGGTTCAAGCAAACGGTCTCTCCTCCATCACCCTAGTACCGACTGGCGCATATCCAAATTTCCGGGTAGCAGTCCTCTCATCGACAGCAGACTCATCGAGAAAGACCAGTTGTTCTTGACTGTATTCAGCCATTGATATGGCGTGTTGCGCACGTAAAATGCCGTTCCGTTCTGCTGCCCTTAGCGTAGGGGTCTTTCGAGTATATCCAATCTTTTTGAGGTATCGACAGACATGGTACTTCGATAGTGAAGTGGCAAATTCCTGGTTCATAAACTCTGCGCAATCATCCTGGTATAGGGTAGGGTTCAGATCATACAGGGCCTTGATATGCTGTCATGCCATGCCCAGCGTTTCAGCCAAGGTCCTCGATGGGGCAGGTCACTTACCATGCCTATGCGGGAGTCAATCTGAGGCGTCCTACCACAGTGCGTGGTAGGGAGGCGCTCATGGGTGCCTTCCTCCTCGAATCTCTTGACAATCCTGTAAATGGTTCGTACCGATCGGTTGATGATCTCACTGAGTTGGTGAACATCATAGCCCTCGATGTAGTTCTCGATAACTATGGACCGTGTGCTATTGTCGCATATCTCACCGAGCATTTCGAACCGTTTGCGACCTTCCTAGGCCTTCAATGGAGTTGTTCTGTTGGTTTTACGATGAGCCTTTACGGAGCATGTGCAGCTACCTGCAGGTTGCGACAAGCATTTTGCAACCAGCTGTATCGCTAGCCGATAGTGCTAGGCCCGCTCCCAGCACATGACCCGCTCTGCACTTATAAACCCCAAGATTCTCCCGTTGATCCACCTCACCTCCAAGGATTTTCCAACAGTTCACTACACCGTCTACAACTCCTACACCTCTCTGATCCACCATCATGGACCTCAGCGAGTATGTCATCGCGGGCCCCCACCCCATCCCCCCCTCTCCCCCATCAACTAACCTCTCTCTCCCACAGATCCATCTCCCATTCCCTCTCCGACATCCGCTCCAAAAAGACCTCCCGCCACCTCTCCCAAATCGCAGCCGTCGAAAAAGAAATCGCAACCTTGACCGCCAAACACGTCGAGGTGTTCAACAAACTCGAGGATGCGCTCGAGAGGAAGGAGACGAAATCGGAATACGTCACTGTCGAGCACCCTAAGTCTGAGGCTGTTGTGAAGGCTGAGAAGGGGCTTGAGATGGGTAACCCAGTCGTTGGCGAGGGCGTGAAGAAACTCGTCGAAACCGCCCAAACCCAGACTCATGCTCAGGTTCCTCCTCGCATGGTGCAGGCTAATGAGGAGGACGAGTGGAATCAGTACAGCCCCCACACAGACTACCCCAAAGACGCAAGGCAAGATAGCCATTACTTTGAAGATGATGACTTCTTCTCTAACGTTAAACCTATCTCCAGCCACAGTCGCAGGCGTTCCTCTTCCCACGCGTACGCCGACGAGGACGAATTCTTCGATGACCTCGTTGAGAAGAGGAGCCAGAGGGTTGATTCTCCGCTTAGGTTGGGTGCGATTATGAACCACGCTCCCGCTGCGCTTCCTACTCCCCCCACCGCCACGGCTAACGCTACGGCCACAGCTGCTTCTGCAGTTCACGAGGTAAAGCCCGTGCGTCAACCCATCAACCCACCCACCCTCACCACCTTCTCCCCCCCGGCCGCTGCTCCCCCTCCCAAAAAGAAATTGTCCGAAGTCGACCACCTCCGCAAAGAAGCAGCAAGCCTAACCGCAGCACTCAAATCTCGCCGCGAACACCTCACGCACCTCCGTACGCGCTTCACCGCCTCCACCGCACGTTTAGAACGCTTGGAGAGGGATTTGACGACGATTTCGGGGAGGTGGGAGGCGGAGGAGAGGGCACGGGTCCAGGCTGAGACATTCAAACGTAAACGCTCTCACTCTTCCTCCGCCGACGAAGAAGATGAGCTCGAACACCTCGAGCGCTCGACGAAGAAATTGATCGTAGAAGTCGTGAAAGGAGCGGCATTGTTCGGATTAGGCGTCGGAGCGAGTTTGGGAGCTAGTGGGTATGCAAATGACTTTTCTTCTTTCGTATGGGATTATGTGAGTGCTAACATTTCGGGAGTATGATCGGGCGCTTTACGTAAGGCGTGAGATCGATCTGCCTTTTGGTACACTAGGGATATGGACACGAGTGGTGGAGAAGGATATGCTTTGTTTGGGATAGGGGTGTTTTCTTTATTGGGTTTTGGGTTTTCTGGGAGTATACTTAATACTGTAAATATGGGTCACACGACCCTCATGCTCTACTTGCTTTACGGCGTTACACGGAATGGAATGTTATTATTCTTGAAACAGTCTCGTACGAAATGCAACTTTCAATCGTATCCATTAGCAATGAAGAAACCCTTTGCCATTTGTCTGCTAACAACATAACGTCCCGCGTGTATCTATCCAAGCGTACAGCCGAGCGTGCTCAAAAAAAGGTTCAGAGAGAAAAAAAGGTGTAAGAAATAAAAAAAAGGAAAAGAAGGCACGTTCGGCTTCCTCCTCCGAAGTTTTTCAAGCATGCAAACTGCAAACAGCCGGTGACAAAAGTAATAATGAAAACGAAACACCCGTGCAATGAATAAAACCCATGTTAGTGCGCCCGATAAACCCCCGTACACTCACTCAACGCTCTCTCTTAGCAATTTTCTTTTTTGTTATCGTGGTCAATGACCACTTCTAGTCCATCTTCACTCTCCTCAACTTCATCCTCTATCCCCTGATCGCCGTCGCCGGTGCGCTCTCGAACGGCTTCTGCGAGGCGAGGAAACTCTCCAATTGCGATGCCTGACCATTCGTCTGCCCAAACATCGTCGGTGTCGCCGTTCCGCTGCTCGACCTCGAAGACTGCGCACTCGTCAACGGGGATGGCCCACCAAATGCACCAAACGTGATCGGAGACCCACCTCGAGGAGGAGCGGTAGTATACATATCATCACTTGCGAACACCCTCAACGGGGGGGACTGCTTCGGCGGATTCGGGGACCTCGATCGCGATTCTGGGGGTGATTGGGGTGATTGTGGGGAGAGCTCTGGTGACATGAGCCTCTGGCCGATCTGGGCGGCGGAGGGGACGGCATTGGGGGAGGTGACCTTTCCGTTCGAGTGCCAGCAGTACTTGTTGATGAAGTCGAAGTAAGAAGTGGAGTTGATCGCAGGCTTTCCAGCGTCCGCGTTAGGGCTCGCGAGGACGGGGCTGTTTGATCTGAACACCGGGCTGGTGTCACCACCCAATCTAGCATTCGCGGTCGAAGGACGCAAGAAGTCAGTGGCAGTCTGTGCCTCAGCCTGCTCAACAAGTGAGGCGGGCATAGCAGCAACCGCAGTGATCGTCCTCTCATCTTCGTCACTCCTGTCCTCAGTCGGCGACATCAATGCCGGGACAGGAGGCAAGAAGTAAGGGTTGATCGCGGATTGCTCCGGAGAAGCGATCGGGCCCCTCGGACGGAACCCAGCACTTGACCCAAGAGCAGAAGAAGCAGCCTTGATCGCCTGCGTCAAACTCGCACTGAAATCGTAGCGAGAAGAGAAGACGCCATCGCGGTCCCTTCTGACGGCAGCGACACCAGGGCTCGCAGTCTCAGCACGGTCCTTCTCGAACTGCTGCTTCTGGGTAGTGTCAACCTTGAGGACAGAGTCGAGGATCTTTCCAGGGCCGCCAGCCTTCAACACAAAATGAGGCGTATCGTCGTCGTCCTCACCCTTGTGATGGTGACCGTAGTGTCCCTCATCATCGCTATCGGCAGCGTTCTGAGAGTGAGCAAACTTTGGCTGCGAGAAGGTTGGCCTGGAGTGCGGGTAGCTTGCCCTTCTTGGCAAGGAAAACTGTGGTCGGCGTCTGAACTCAACAGAGAAGTTACGACCAGAGTTGTTGTCCCAGAACTCATGTCCTTCAACATTGTACCTCACGCAAAACAACATAGTCTTGTTCTCCAGATTCGCCAAATCATGCAAGCGAATAACGAACTTGAAGCGGTCCTGACCGTCTTCGGCTCGTGCGGCAGCATCACCAAGGTACTCGGCAGCGACCTCGGAGGTAGTCTGCCAGTTGTCGACGGTGAAGCGGACAGCGACCCACTTGTGGAAGGCGAGATTCTGAACAGCAACTTTACCGACAAGAGTCTTACGGTCAGGGCTAAGGTCAACGGACTCAACATGGACCGGCAAAGCCTTGCGATCGGCTGTATTTGGAGGAAATTGAGGAGTGGAGATGGAGTACTGAATAGGTCCGTCCTGAGCCTGACCGAGGTCGGCAGAAGCACGATCCAAAGCCTGCAGATTTGGCGGCTCCTCCGCCGTCGGCGACGTAGAAGCAGAGACAGCAGCGGGCTTTTCTGCCTTGAGGAAGTGCCGGACGTGCTCAAGCTTAGAATCGAAGTGAACCGACTTCGAGTAATTCGGCGTCGATGGCATACTCTGCGGACGACGACGGGGCGTACCACCAATCTTCAGTGATGGTCGAACAAGCTCTCCACTCTTCTTCCTGAGCATCTTGGGTGCTGGGTAAGAGTCGCTGCGGTCGTCCTCAAAATCGCTCATGACAGCAACATCGTTCGATGCTGGCATCTCCAACCGGAATTCAGGCGCAGAAGATGACTTATTATGTCCGAGTCCATTTCTGTTCACGGCACGGTGTGCCGTGGTAACCTTCTTAGGCGAGATCCCCGGCGTGTTATCATCCGTGATCGACGGCTTCCGAGGCGGCGACGCGCTTGGCGACCCGGTCTTGAACTGTGTAATCCCGCTGGCAGCATGGTGAAGTTCCATTATCTGCTTCACCTCAATCTCTTGACGAGGCATTACCTCAGGCCGGTTGTCTTCATCGTACGTTGGTGATTCTGGCTCGGCGCTGGGTGATGACGACGTGATAACGGTAGGTGTAGTCGAGATGTGTAATCGCGACGCGGCATACCTCAGGCTGGGCGCGTATTTGGTCTTTGGAATATTTGGCAAAGAAGACGTTCTCAAAGCCGGGCTTGGTCGCTTTTGGGCGAGGTAGGCGTTGGCTCGAGTTCGCTGCTCCGCGGAGATAGACGGCGAGGTAGATGACGGAGCCGCCGCGGGCTGAGAAGTGGTAGGTGACATCTTTGGAGGTGTATAAGGCATTGTAGCTGGGTATATGCTGGATTAAATGCTTGCTGTAAAGTATATATGGCAGCCGAAGCGGCGTTGAGACGACTGCTTAGGATAGGTATCGAATGCAACCAAAACAAACGCAGTGACCGAACCGGATGAACTCCTGTAGACAAGAGAGATGGTTAGCAATCTGTTATCGAGGCTGTATGCAAGCTCCGAGTGTTGTTCGTACCTCGACCAAAAAGCCGATACCGTACTCTTCACGCGTTCAAGGACAGGCGAGTGTCCAAGAGATATGGAAGGGCGATGGTGGTGGTGGTAAAGACCAGAACGAAAGTCGAGGGTATGCAGGTGCGTGGCTTTTGACGACGACACGAGACGGACCGTGCTTATGGAAGCGGTTGGGGATAGCGGGACCTCGTATGAGATGGGTTGCAGGGTTCGGATTCAGACGAGTGCAAATGAAGGACTCGCAGGGACCTCGTTGGTTGTCGCACCAATCGGTTTGAGATCGACTCCGAACTCTAATGCAAAGGCTCGAAAGCCCTACGGTTGGATCCTGTGAGGGTTGGGTTGCGGGAGGGTGTAGCTACAGCGGGCAGTATAATTATGGGCACAGCTACGCACAAGCAGGTCACCCCAGCCAACAATGCGCGGACCGGGCAATCGACAGGCGTGCGCCCACACCACAGCTAAGGGGGCTTGCCGCTAAGTCCACGATAACACCAGGCGCCGCATCTTAATACTGCTGCTTCCAATTCAGCCTGAAGACTGCGCCAGGCTTCTGAGGTGAGCCGTAAACGCAAGTCTGCGGGGGTGGAGTTTCCCGTCTTTTCTCTACAATTTTTGCGGCGCTTTTGTTGGGGACTTCAATTGCTGTTCTCCCTCACGCGCGCAGGGCCCTCGGCACTCCAACTTTTCCAGTATGAAAGGCACCACCTCCTGGAATCCTACACTTGAAACGTCAAGACCTCCAACGCGACGGTGATCGCAGATCGAGGATCTGGCTGCGTGTACACCTCATGTTGCAGCAATTGGGAACGAAGCATTGTTAGTGGGCGAGTAGTGCAAGCTGGTGCGCCACACTAGTGTGCAGTGATCAAATTCCGTGAGGACATCAACACCATTGAACTGACTAATGGCCTGGGGTATGGGGTTGCTCCAGTCCGACTAACGGAGCTACTTACCGCGGAGCTCAGGCTGTCATGAAGTGATCGTCGTCTTTGAGCTCGGTGTCCTGCTTCGAGGAAGTTCTACGAGTTCGAGGGCTGTCTAGTGTAGAGTGATTATCGAGAAATGTACGTCTCTGTCAAACAATTGTTATTGCCCACAGCTGTCTGGAACGCTTATGTAAGTCAACTGTGAGCCCACGCGCTTCACCCGCTGTCTCCACCGTGCATCCTCCATCCATATTCTTCCTCGACCTCATCGACGATTTGACACCCGTCAACAGCCCTCCCGTCTATCATTGCCTTTCTCACCCCACTCAGCTTAGCTAACCAGTCCCAATCTAGGTCAACCTCCGTCCCGTCCCAGGAAAAAAGTTCGTGGTGGCCTTTACGTCAGCAATGCTCCGCGCCAACCTCTGTCTGGGTTAAGGTTTGGCTGCGCGTATGCATGCGCCACGGCTCATTCGCCACATCACGGCACGACCGGTTTACCCGGAGACCTGGCGCGTCTCAGCAGGCCGATGCGAGGGACGTGAGAGCACAAAGCACAATGAAGCCAGCTCGACGCGTCCGTGGGACGCCCGGTGGCGAGTTCTAAGTTGAATAAGGTCTCGGAAAAATCTGGTGTGGGAACATTTGTGCGGCCGCTGGTTGGTGCCTTTGTTGGGACATTGGCAGGTCGGAGCGAGGAAAAGCACCGAGGTGTAACCTGTCAACCGCACGCGACATCTACTACGGCCCGCGATTAACAAGTTATGCCTTCCCATGCCATTCATCGGGCGTGTCCCTTCTCCCTTTTCTTGTTTTGATATGTTTTATGGAACATGAACTTAAGCTTCCCCTCCTTTGAGCACAACCCTTGGCATCGGCCTTCCTCACTCGAAATTGGCGACGCTGAGCCTCACCTGCACACCTTACGATAACCTTGAAACCGCCTGGTGTCGCTCGGTTCGGCTGCCATACCGTCGTGGTCCGCTTTCTCTGCACGTACCCGGCCGAAAGCGTACGCGCATATCCAACCTCGCGATCACGAATCGGCAGCCTACCGTCCGCTGCACCAATCATGCGGTCTCCTCGCGATAAGGACGTGTCGGACGGCATAAAAGTGGTGGTGTTAGAGAATATCTATACTGATGTCAATACCGGGGTTGAGGGATTTATCGATCTGCCATCATCATATGGTACGGTCACGACGTGGATGTCGGTGGAGAGGGGTATGATGCGTTTGCGTGTACGTGCGACGGGGAAAGCGGCTCGCCAAGGCCCCGATTGCAGGATGGATCTTGTGACCCCCATGGGGAGCAGGGTGTGGGGTGTGGAGGGGATGAGCATCAATCAATATTGGTTCGTCATTTATCGGTGTCAGGGTTCAAGTTGCGACGTGTCACTTGATGTTGTCAAGTTGTGGGCCGCCTCCTGATTTACGGTTATATGTACAACGTGTACGGCCGTTTTGTGTGCGTGTCCAACATACACGAGTTTCGAAGGTCTGTGCGTTGAACCAATCACGGCGCTTTCCGACTAAATAGAGTTCGTTGGGGACGGCTGACAGCCTGAATGACTGTTTGAACTCATATTCCTCCGTCGAATTTAAGGGTCTACTTACGAAGCTTTGTTGAGCTCTTTGTTCGAATTTGAAGAACCCGACGTAGCCGACCCCACGGGGATTTCGCATGAATGTTGGGGACAAGCTGATTCCGATCTGTAACGACGGCCTTGCACGGCGCAAGTACATCCCATCGGTGTAGCCCGTTGCGATGGTCTCGTGAGCTCAGCACCGAGTATATCGGATACAGAGATGCTGGAATGAGGTGGGGAAGGGACTGTCACGCTGGTTACACTTCGGTACGGGGAAGACTTTCGCACGGACGAGTCACGATGGGTGCACCCGCGTGTGGAGGTAAGGTGATGGCGGCGAATGGTGGTTGAGGACAGTCATGCACGTTATGAAGCCGTCGGAAATGTTGCCATGTTGCTTGTGTTATGAGTGACAGGCATCATGAATCTAACGGTCATCATAATGATATCCGAAAGCGGCGAACAGAAAGACGTCATGACTTTGAATCTGTCATCAAACAGCTGCTGGCAACTGATGACTGTACAAACACCTTTTGATCTATCGCCAACCGATCTTATTTGCATTACGGCTACACTGCGTTGGGCGGCCCAATTCTCATGCCTCGTCGGCTTGTGATACCCGCAGAACCCCGCAGATGGTCCCATCTGGGGTGCGTACGGTCTAGCCAGACTGAACTCCCTCCAAAGAGCTGACCGGCAGACACGGAAACAACCAACAACAACGACGACGATTATCAGCATTCATTCGCTGTACCGCTATGCACAATGAGCGTCCTTTCTTGTCTTTTGCGCATCGCCTTCTTTCCCCTCCGACTCTCTCTCTATATTGCCCTTGGCGTCCCGTCCTTCTTCCTTCGCCTCACGCTCATGCTTTTCTTCGTTACAATCAGCCTTTGCATCGACCTTTCTTTCAAGCTTCTTCTCTTCTGCATGCCTACGTCTGTGTTGTCCTTTGTAATCGTGCTTCTGATAAGGTGTTGAGTTGTGTCGTGTTGGAGATGGAGTATGGTAGGTTCTTGTTGGAGGGGATGAAGAGGGAGTGGGTGGATTACTATACGAGGAAGAAGCTGGCGGGGGCGCCGGAGGAGGGGGAGCCGCGTTTTGAGGGGCATTCATTCGAGGGGACTTTGAGTACACAGTCATCTTGTACCTTTGCGGAGCGTCTTGAGGCTTCTCGTCCGAACTCGTCTTCGTCAAAGCAGCATACACGCCAGATAGAGGTTGTTAACACGGTACGGGCTTTTGTCGAAGGCATCACAGATGTGTTACTGATGAAGTTCCTACAGAGCCGTCCTTCCCCACTGTCATCCTCACCACCACTCCCCGCGTCCGATTCCTTCGCTCTTCCGGATAGTCTTGACGTTCCTCGTCACCGCTTTGCTCCTCGTTCCCGCTCTCGTCGACCTCCTTTCGATCGTCACGCGAGTATGCCCGATCTTCACCCTGTCTTCACCGCTGAATTCGACGCGGATGACGAAGAGGAGGATGAACGGAGTGACGTGACCGAGCTTGAACTGGACTCCAATCTGAGACCTGGTGACATCCTCATCACTTCAAGCACTTGTGTAGCCGCGCGTCGGGAGGTTACTTGTGTCGTCGTCCAGGCTAAGGGGCTTGTTAATGCAGCACCAACCACGCCGACGGATATACTCTATGGCGACGATGTCTCGGAGGCCTCAGAGGACTCCATGAAGGTTATTGTGGAGAGGGGGCAGTCCGACGATTATGCAAGGATCCAAGAGGCTGTTGATGCTGCCGAACGCCGCGAGTTGACTTTTCTCGATTGTATGCAGGAAGATCAGGAAGCTTACACTATCACGTTCGGGTCTGACGCGTCGATGGCTGGCGATAGCTACTCCGCACCTTCCCCAGTCAAACCTTACAACGTTGACGCCGAGCCGGAGATTGCGGTCGACTGCGATTCTTCCTTTCATACTGCGGAGGACACGTCTTCAATCTGTCCCCAGCCTTCTGATTGCGCTGTACCCTTCGAGAAAAACGACATGCCATTGCCGAGTCCGCACAATCCTCCTACCACGGATGAGCCCAGTGAGAAAAGTTCCGGCTTGAGTGTTGTGTTCCCGGAGTATTCTGCGCTTGAAGCTACTGAGATGACCGAAGGCGGGAAGAGGCAGAAGGGTGTTGATAGGGTCGTGAGTTGGTTCCGCACCCCAGGCCAAGTCATGCAATGTGGGATGGTAGAGGAGCCAGTGGCAAGTCCAGAAGTTGAAACAGGCAGGTTGGAAAGCATCTGACAGATAGGCCGAGCTAACAAAATACAGGAAACGAAGTGGAAGCGCCTCGCTCCTCTGATGATCCGAGTTCGCAGCCACCCCGTCTTCCGAGTCACTTCCGGGAGAAGGCCATGCAGCTGAAACCCCTCGAGCTCGTTCGATTGACGCAGCAGAGGACGTTCGATGATCTTTTCAGGAATGAAGTAAACAAAACAGGGTGAATGGTGTATTCCCGTCGAAACCGACTCAGGCTGACGATTCTTTTCACAGTGTTGACCGTCGAAAGTCCCTCTCCCCACTTACGTCTCGTGTTCGCCATGGCCTTGTCACCCCTATCACTCCCGTTTCGTCTACAATTCTCGATGAACAGCATGGAAAGGTTAGGGAGGAGGTGGTGTCGCCTACGGGTTCTGATGAGACGATGGAGTCGTTTGGCGAGGAGAGGAGGAGGGAGATGCTTGAGAGGGCGTTTCTGTGAGGGTTGCTATGGCATTGGTGGGTGGAGTTCTATACCATGGACAACTGCATTTGACGTTTGCTTTTATCAATATCCAATATACCTGCATACATGGAAATTATATGCTATGCTTAAAATCTAGCTGTCATTGTAAATCATAGGGGGAACGCATCCGGTCAGTGGTGAAAAGGGAGAGGAGGGACATGTCTTTGCAAAAGTACTTTGCGTTAGAGAACGAAGAGCAAAACCAACCAAGAACGCCTGTCCATAGTACCCATGCATACCGATTCAATCCAATCCAATCCAATCCAATCCAATCCAATCCAATCCAATCCAATCCAATCCAATCCAAACCGAACAACAATTCGTGGGAATCAATCCCGACTCAAAGGCCCAAAAAAAAAAAGCTCTCCATCTCTCTCTCTTCTCTCCTCTCCTCTCCATTAAGCAACGGTCCTTCCCTCAATCTCCTTCACTTTGCGGGAGAAGACCTGGGGAAGCTTCTCGCCCGCTTCATTGTCGGCATGGGCAGCGGGCTCACGACCCGGTTGGATCTTCCACTGAGATCCGGTGCGGGCGTGAGCGGTGGTGTTGTGCTGCTGGTTGCCCAACGCCTCCTCGCGCAACTCCATGGCACGGGCAACGTCCTTGACGGAGCGCTTGCGCTGGTGAGGGGTGCGACGGTTATTGTTCTGGAGGACGGGGGAAGCGAGAACGGTCTCCTTGACGGACAAAGGCTTGGAGGTCTCCTGGGGGGTCTCTTTGTTTTTCTTCACGACCAGGATAATCCGCTGTTTGCGCTCCATGTTGACAGGAGCAGGATGAGCATCTTGGAATGGCGTAGCCCTGGAATCCTGGGTCTCCTCGGAGCTGCGGTTGCTGGTGGTAGAAGAACGTCCCGAACGGTAACCACTGTCGACAGTCGCACGGGACGGAGCGCGGAGGCCGGAAGCGAAGTCCTCGGTGGTGCGGAAGGAGTAGTCGTCGAGGTGGATGTTCTTGGACTCGACAGGGACAACGTTAACGTCCCTCTTGGGGGCTGGACAAGGGTCACGGGGGTCCTTCGCGAAAGGAGACCTCTTGGTGATCATCCAGCAGGAATCCTCGACACGAGGCCTGGGCGCAGAACGCTCCTTGAAGAAGCGTGTGGAGGGGTGCTGCATCCCAAGCGACTTCCTCTTCGGGGCCATAGGAACTCCCCCCTTGACTTGGAGGATGACGGCGTCGGCGGCGGAATTATCGGTGGAGACTGCAGAGGTCTCGGCGTATGCGTTGGCCGGGACAGCGGGAACGAGGGGAAGAGGCTTCTCCTTGGGAGTCCTCGCGACTGGGGAAGGGTCGTTCTTCTCCTTGGCGGGTTCGGTCCTCTCGGTGGTGCCCATGGCGGCCTCGGCAGCCGCGGTGGCCATGTTGGGAGCGAGACCACGGCGACCAGCGACGAAGTGCTCCCCGTTGCGGATAGAACGCATCTGGTGCTTGAGGTAGACGTCAACAGCCTCCTGTTCCTCGCGGACAGCAGCCCTGGAAGATCCGCCGAAGCACGCCTTGAGTGGCGCCCAAATGGACGAGGTCTTCGAGGCAGCACGAGGGGAAGGGGCGGAGGTGCGGACGGTAGTGGTGGATTTGTTGATAGTGGACATGTTGGAAGGAGTTGTAGTAGTAGTGGTGGGGTTGTAGTAGTAGTGGTGGGGTTGTAGAGAGCTGTTGTGGTAGTGGTCTCTGGTAGAGAGCGGTGTAGTTGCAAGTGGACTTGGTACGACGGGAGTGTGTGTGGATGGAGGAACTGGGTGGGATGGGGCCTCCCTTTTATCCACGAAGGTCCCAAACGCGTTTAGGCTCCGTTGACCATTCTGCGATCGATCCGGCTCGATTCGCGTCGCCTGACATCACCACTTTCCGAACAGCTGCCTTGGATATCCAGAGCCGTGGTAGAAAAATTGCCTAATGGGGAACGCTAGTCTCGGGCGGATCTTGTAACGTCGACTTTAGCGCAGTTTTCAAGTCCTGCGCGGCCGGAATAGGCGATATTGTGTAGGGCTTCTGCATAGCGCGTTGGATGGCAAATTTTCAGATGACTTCATGACGGAATCCAGAGGCCGTTGGACCAATGGATTTCTTCTGCTGTCTTCTGCGGTCTGTACGCCGCGCCTTTCACATCGGATGCGCCATTTTTCAACGGGGGTCCGAATCGATCTGACGAGCACACGTATACGTACGGCCACTTACAGCTGCGTAACTATAGCCTTCATGCAGTAGGTTCTCGTGGCCGTGTCTAAAGAAAACTACTGGGATTGCAGCTGTCTACATCATTTCTCTTTCCGATATGATCACGGCCGGTTCAGAGGTCTCCGAAGTTCCCACGCTGTGCATGGCTGGGACGTGACCTGCAACGTTACTATTACCACCAACCCGTCTGTTCAATCTGTCCCCATCTCCTTCTCTCCGCCCATTTTCAATCACATGCGCATGTCACTGGTACCCGCATCGAGGAGCCCGGCCCGGTACATAACCGCATGGACCGGACCGAGGCCAGATAAGCCCCATCGACAAAAAGCTTGATTACGCATATGTCATTTAACATTGACGCGAAGACGTATAAAGTCCTCGCTTGGCTTGTGATCGACTCTCATTCAACCTTCACCGAACACAATCCGCGATCATGGCTTCAAGATCGTTTAGTGAACGTCGTCGACAGCAGAGGCAGATACTCGACCTACCGTCACCGCTTTATGGTACTTCTATGGGCGGGGAACCGCTGGAGTTGTATCCAATGGGTGACGAGCCCCAGGGAGTGGATCGTACACCTAGTCCGGCCGATACGCTGAAACCCCTCCTCTCGACTCCTCAAGCACCGCCTAGTCCGATGTTCCTTCGCGACAAGGGGTATTTTCTCACCCAGCACATGGAGTATAGCTCCAGTACCAGTCCTCCCTTGACACGTGGAAAGGGTCCGTTGAGGAATGTGCAGAGTTACCGCCCGTTCAGAGCGGCGTGGGAAGATACGAGTGCCTATGATATCTTTAGCTGGGTCTTTGCTACCGTCGTCATCTTCACCGTTCTCATCCTCCTCATTGCTGGTTTGGGCGTCGACCACGGCCGTATCGTCAGTGGGGACGTCATCATCTTCTTCCCAGGCAAAAGTCTCGCCGAAGTCGATACAATCATCACAATCTTCATGTCCGTCCTCAGCGCTCTACACGTCAGTGTGCTGTTTACGACTATGTTGCAGGTACAGTGGAGTATCAAGTGGGATGAAGTTACGTTGCATAGTCTTACTTTGGAGGAGTTTGAGGGGTTGAGTGCGTATGGGTTCAGGTATTGGTGGACGGCGGTGGGGATGGTTTTGGCAGGGAGGATGAAGCATAAGACGTTGTTGGTGGCTGTGGCTTTTTTCTCGGTGATGCTGGGGTTTATGCACTTGCTTGCTAATCAAGGTTCGTATACTTCCCCCATGATCCTCTATTGGCTGTTGACGAACCGGATTAAGCTGCGTACGCAAACTTGGGATTGCAGCGCCAGACCAACTTGACGAAGGCTTTTGGTACTGCGAATGTCACTAAGGCGGTGTTGGGGACGGACCACCCCACTGATGATGACCTTGTGTCCGTCTTGGAGAAAATGGTGCGCGTCAACATGGGTCTGAACGCCTCAGCATTGGAGGACCAGAATGGCATTGTATGGACGACTCCGAACGCATCGGTCACGAACACCACCGTGAATGAATCGTATTACAACGTCACGGTATGTTTTCTTCATATACGCCTGATCGCAGTTGGTCCTGACACTTGTTCATGCAGGGTGGTAGACCCATCGTAACCTGCAAAACACTCCCCGTCTCCGATTTTCAGCTCAATTGGGGAAATGCTAACGGGACACCTCCATACCTTTATGCTCCATCATTGTCAAACTTCTCCTTCTCTTTCCCGCAGCCGAAGAAGACGTTCATGCAGTTGGGGAATAATGCAATTTTTGCCGGTGACATAGCCAGAAGTTTGACGGATTCGCGAGTCAACGATACAATCGATACAGATGGGTTGAACTTTATTTTTGGTGGGTATGCGGTCGACCCGCAACTGTATATCCCACAGTATGCTAGCTACCTTCGAAATGCTACGCATTCCATGTGGGGCTTCGCCATGAACTGCCGTTTCGAGCTCCATGAGGTAAAAGGGAACTGCACCCTGGTCGGGAACAACCTCAAAAACTGTACTTTATTCAACGGGTCCGAGAAGGCTGCGAGCCAGCTTGATATCCCAGGGGTCACGGGTGTTGTTACACAGAACCGCGTAAACGGCTTCCTTTACTACGCCGTCCTCCACGATCATCTCGAGATACAGGTTCAGGGCGGACACAACTTCTCATACCCACGTGCATACACAAATCAGATCGCGGGGAGTACGAAAGAAGTTCCAAATGTCACCGATGTGTGGAGACGTATTAACATCTCCGCCTACGCCGCTACAGAGACGTTCCTCAATCCCTATTATGGGAATGAGACACATCACGGCGAAGGCTACCAACTAGTCGCAGGCATCGCCTTCAAGAACTGGGCACTTTACCTCGCCCTCATTGTCCTTCTCTGGCTCTACTTTGGTTTCGTCTGCTTCGTATTACACCTCAACCACTCCCCTATCATTCCACGCGCTAACTCGCCTTCTCTTTTGATTGCGGCTACGGCTGGGAGTGATGTGGGTGAGACGTTTTCTGGGTTGGGAAATAGGAAGATGAAGGCTGTTATGGGGAATGTGGGTGAGAGGAGGGTTGGGTATGGTGTATTGGATGGGGAGGAGGGGCCTGGAGGGACTCACGCGAGGTTGAGGTTGGGACATGCGGTCCAAAGGATTAATGAGAGCGATGGGAACACGTTGTATGGTTAGTGGTTGGTCTGTGACCAGACCAGCTATTCCGCTCGTTACAAGGGCTGTTTTGGAGAGAACTGGTGAACGATTGCAGAACTGCGTCTGAAATTACGGCTTTGGAAGGCATACCGGTTATGCCGAAAAGGAAGAGTAATACCAATATCAAATATTATTAATGATCACAGCTCCCTAAGGAACTTCCGAAAACCACCTTAATCCATGCACCTATATGAAAGATTCACTCATCGTACACCCCAATCAACTCCCTACTTGCTAATACTCGTCGCCGTCAAAGTCGGCACAACCTTACTATCAACATCAACCCCAATCAGCCTGTGCCAGTCCTCCTTCGGCATATACTCCTCCTCCTTCCCCCTCATCGGCGCCGTCTTCGCCAACTCCTCCACATCCCCAAACTCAAACTTCTTCTCCGGCAACAAATCGTAGATGCCCCTAGCATACTCCGGCGCGATGCAGTAGCATTGACTCAAATAGAGTTTCTGGATACGGGGTTCGACCCATTTGAGGTATGCGACGGTGTTTTTGTGGGTGTTGGCGCGTGCGCCGTCGTCCATTACGCGGCGGTAGAGTTCGGTTGCTTGGGTGTATTCGGAGAATTTGCCTTCGTGCATGCTGTGCGACTGGCGGGAGAGGATATTGTCAGCGACCTTGACGGGCTTGTAGTCGACATCCTGGCGGAACTTGGGGGTGTTGTAGGAGTTGGGCCAGTAGTGGGGCTTCTGTCCGGTGTTGGCATCCACGCGCATGGGACCCGCGTTGTTGATGGATGAGTAGGATTGGGACATGAAAGGGCAGTTGACGGGGATTTGGTGGAGATTCACGCCGAGACGGTGGAATTGCGCGTCGCGGTAGAAGAAGGTGCGGAACTGCAACAACATGTCGGGAGAGGGCTCGATTCCAGGAACCATGGAGCCGGGGGAGAATGCGGATTGTTCGACGTCGCGGTGGTAGTCTTCGGGGTTGCGGTTCAACACCAACTTTCCAAACTCCTTCATGGGGAAGAGACCACGAGGCCAGACCTTGGTGACGTCGAAGGGGTCGAAGTCCTGCTGGGCGGCTTCGTCGAGGGTCATGACTTGGTACATCGCCTTCCACTCGATCTCCTCGCCACGCTCGATAGCAGCCCAGAGGTCACGCTTGGAGTAATCGGGGTCTTCACCACTCATGCGGACGGCTTCCTCCCAGGTGAACTGCTTTTGTCCGTGCTTCGCGATGAAGTGGTACTTGACGTACACAGCACCCCCATCCTTGTTAACCCACTTGAACGTGTGCGCACCGTAGCCATGTTCAAACCTCCATCCATTGGGCGTACCGTGGTCGGAGAAGAACATGAGTCCAGCGTGGTTAGACTCGGGAACCATGGCGAGGAAGTCGAAGAGGGAGTCAAAGTCGAGGAGGAAGTTCTGCGGGTTACGCTGCTGAGAGCGGATCACATCCGGACCCTGCATAGGATCACGGCAGAAGAAGATAGGCCAGTTGAGACCCACGATGTCGTAGTTTCCTTCGCCGGTGTAGAACTTGATCGCGAATCCACGGGGGTTACGACCAGAGTCGGGGAACTCACGACCGAACGTGACGGTAGAGAAACGAACGAACACAGGAGTCTTCTTACCGACCTCACTCAAAAAGTCGGCTTTGCAGAGGTCTGAGACGTCCTGGGTGACCTCAAAGTATCCGAAAGCACCGGATCCACAGGGGTGGACCATACGCTCCAAAGTCTTGGAACGGTTGAAGGTCTGCTGCTTCTCGAAGAGGAAGGTGTCGGAAGCGACGGGGATTCCACCGACATTAAGGGAATGGTTGGTGGTAGGCCAGGGAATACCGTAGTTGTTGGTCAAGTAAGGAGCATTGTCCTCCTTCACGTGAGTTTCCTGAACACCAGTGATACAAGCAGCAGTCTCAGCAGGGCCTTTGTTGGCACCCTGGAAGAGAGTAGCCTTCTGCACGGGACGAGGGTCGAGACCCAGCTTGCCGGCGACCTCGGCAGCGTCTTGAGCAATGTTATGGAGCAGAGATGCCATTTGGAGTTAGAGGAAAGGAAGTTGCGGATCAGATACAATCGACGGGTGGACTTGCCCGTTCTTATACCCTTCCTCGCGTCTTGAGACTGTCCAACTGATCCATCGCAAATCTCGTCATCAAGTATTTCGTCATGATTTGGTAGGTGTGTGGGTTTCGGTGCGCGTGTCCCTCGCTGGTGCATGAAGAATGGGAAAGTTGAAATGTCGATGTTGATCAATTCGCGATCGCGGGTAATTCTGGCATGATTTCGCCAATTTAAGGAGGGAGGCGATGTGTCACCGAGATGTCAGTGGCTATTAACTGGCCTGCTATTGTATGGAAATTTGGATTAGGACGAGTACTCGGACAATCTACTGCTCAGGTTGCGTGGTGCTTGGTGAAATACGCCAATTGAGCAGGGAGAATTAAAGAGCAGCCGAAGCCATGTTGAACGAACGAATGAAACGTAAGAAGAACTGCCATATACAATAGCTAGTTATCATAAAAGCTCCCACGGTCCGTCGTGGTGGTTAACTCAACATCTCCATAATTCCCAAGAACACCGATAGCAGTTGCAATCGCACCGCCTAAAAAAGTCCTAAATCAATCAATCAAAAACACCAAAAGAGGTTCCACCTTATTACCACCTCAGATCCTCGTACGAACGAAACCATTACAAATCAAAGTGTCCACTGAACATACTGTTCTTCCCACAATCACGTCACTCATTCCACCAATCACAATCACACAGCCGGAGCTGCAGTGGTCGTCGCAGACGAACCCTCCCCGACGTCAACCCTCTCCCCCCCAAAATCCCCAAAATCAAACAACCTAGCCTCCCCATCATCACTCCCACTAACAATCCTACTATCCCCCAACCCAACACACGTAACAGGCCCCGTGTGTCCAACGAGGGTATGCTCACATTTCCCGCTCCAATCCCATATCTTGACGAGTCTGTCGTGGGCGCCGGATGCGAGACGGAGTTTATCAGCTGCGAGGGCCCATACGCCTTCGACGTGGCCGAAAAAGGTTTTCACGCAAGCGCCCGTGCGGACGTCCCAGACTTTGATGGTATTGTCCAACGAACTCGTCGCCAGATGTCGTGGGTGGGCTTTGTTTGCTTCCGAGCCTTCCGCCTCAGCTTCCTGCGCCGGAATCTCAATCTCGTCAGGATCGATGTACTGACTCAACGTGATCGGCACAACATTCTGCACTTGCCCGACATGCCCCGTAAACGTCCTCAAACAAACCCTGCCCCGCAAATCCCACATCTTCACCGTGGTATCGTCAGAGGCGCTGTACAGCGTTTGACTCGCGGAATGGATCTTGACAGAGTTGACCCAATCCTTGTGACCCCTAAGCGTAAAACACTCCTTCGTCTCGAAATTCCAGATCTTGATGCTCGAGTCTGCTGATCCACTCGCAAGGAGCTTATCATCGAAATGGAGAGAAACAACACCATCCGTATGCCCACCCAGTACACAAATACACTCCCCAGTCTTCCGATTCCAAACCCGAATCGTACGATCCATACTCCCCGAAATCAACTTATTATCATCAAACATCAAACACCTAACCCCCCTAACATGGCCCCTCAAAACCCTAATCTCCCTCCCCGTCTCCAAATCCCAGATTCGAATCGTGGTGTCATAACTCCCCGTAGCTAAGATCCGGTCGTCGAATTGGAGACACATTATGCCGTCGGTGTGGCCGCGGAAGACGCGAGTTGTGCAGCGGCCGCGGCGCCAGTTGCGTTCGACGCGGCAGCGTTCGGAGTAGACGTCTTTCCAGGGGCGGGTTGCGGGTTGGGAAGGAGGGTGGTTGAAGGCGAGTGCAGCGGTTGCCATCTCAGGGCAGTGTTTCTTTGTGATGGGTTCTGCTGCTGCGTCGGGGTCGGAGGAGTCGGATAGTTGTCGTTTTGAGGCGGAAGTGTGGGAAGCTGTTGAGGGTGCGTCGGGGTTTTCGTGGGTGATGATAGGTTGGAGGACTTCTGCCGGTGGCGGCGCAACAACCGGTGTCACTTCCGTCGCCGTCGCCGTGGATGTCGGCGCCGTGATAGTCGTTGGAGTGGTGGGCGCCGACTCCCTCTGCACAACATTCATCCTCTCAAACTCTCTCCTCCGTCTCTCAATCCCCTCCTTGCTAGCCTCCAACCTCCTCCTCTCCATCAACGGCAACCCCCATCCGCACTTCTCACACTTCCGATCAATATGCTGCTCACACATCCGATGCCACACGACATCATCGTCCGCTAATCTCTTCCATTCACGACAAACCATCGAGGCACGGCAGAGTGAGATCGGGTCGAGGTAGGAGAGGATCTTGAAGGATATTTCGGCGGGGAGGGCGGTGATGAAGTCGATTCGGATGAGGTTTGAGAGGGCGGAGGAGATGAAGGAGAGTTGTGGGAAACAACACTGACTCAGAATCCCTGATAGCATGAGCCGACGGTGTGTTGCGGGGGCGGCGGAGAAGAGGGACCAGACGTGGGTGATGGCTTGTTGGTCTTCGACTGGTAACGTCTCCATCGCAGTCTGTAGTTCGCCCATAGTTGGTTCGTGCGCTTGGCGGCGACACTTGAAGGAGGGATTATGTCGGTAGCAAAAGTTGCGTTTATCTTGTGCGCCTTCGGGGTATCCCTGTTCCGGGATATGCTTGCTCAGGAAGGGCGTGAGCGTCGTTTCTGCCCGATATGATGGTTGTAACGGTAAAGACAGCGTAGATGTATTCAAATTCAATGTCGAGGATGAACGATGATCGTGGTCCATACACGGATCAACCAGCAAACTTGGAGAAGTGACGGGTCGCGGAGGAATAGAGGCGGCGTCCTCTGGCTTAAGATCGTCCTCGTTTGATGTCGCCATATCGTGCACAGAATGACGCGAAGAACCAGCGGGAATTCTTTTCCGGTCTCGAACGTCTTGGTGGTGTATTACGTGCTTTTGGTGAGGCTGCACGCAATTGCCTGGTGTCGCTGCAAGGGTACCGGTACACTTCGGAGGCTCGGCTGCTTCGGGTTGAGATTGGGCGCGGCGAACTGTAAAGGGGGTTATTCAAGAAGGATCAGATTACTCCCGAAGCGATCCATATATTCAGATCGGTAACCACCGGGGTCCCTACCGTTGCTGCAGTCTACTGCCGTACACCACCCCTGTAACGTAGACGCAAACAACTTCCTCGATCCCGCACAGCTGCCCCATCAATCAACCAACACACGCTGAATCGACATCCCATCCTCCATTGCCTTCCTCCAAACCACCTCTGCCCCAGCCATGTCAACACACACTCCTACAGCCCACCTCCTCACCCTAACCCGCACCGCAAAACGCGCCCTCTCCGAAGCACAGTCACTCTCCTCCACAGCAAACGCGGCTATCACATCCACCCACGACCACATCGACGCCATCCGGCGTCTGGTACCACAAACGACCTTTCTTAGGAAAGCGATGAGCGAGCAGTTGAAAGTCTTGTATGGCATTCTGGACGGGATAAAAGCCGAAGAAGATACTGCACGTACCTCTTTCGAATCCGAACTCGCAGCTTTGGACGCGCTCGATGCAGACCTAAACTCCATTCTCGCACACCTAAAATCAACACCCATCGACCCCGGATTCGCCGAAGCAAATCTCTCTCTCTCAAGAAGCGGAAGCGCAGACCCGGAAATTCGAGGGAAGGAGACGCTGCATGATTTCGTGGATGATGTCGCGATTGAGCAGCTAAAGAGACAGCTGAGGGGGATTATCGATGAGGTACAGGAGGTTCACGACGGGATTCACGTGGTGATTGAAGCGTTCAACGGCGAGATCGAGGGGTTCGAGCAAGCACTGCATGATGTACCACCACTACCTTTACTCGAGGCACATCCACCACCAGACGAGACGCCCACAGCAGAAGACGAAGAGGACGGAGAGGAACGAGAACCGTTCCCGGCGGATGGAGATGCGGTCCAAACCTACCTCTGGATATCAACCCACAACGCCGACATCATCGCCGACCTCCTGCTCGGTCTCGCACGACACTACGACCAATGTACCCTCGCGCTAAACGACATATCCAACGGTGCTTCTGTTTCAACGTTAGTAGATCCAGGAGAGAAAGAGGAGTTCTTGGGCGTGCTTGACCGGGATGGGGAGCAAATTGATGAGGTGTTGGACGAGGTGAGGGAGTTGGTTGGGCATTGTGAGGATATTGGGACGACGCTTGAGGGGTATCTCGGTGCTCTTACCTCCGCTTACGACCAAACTACGGCTCTGTTTACGAGGTTGGAAGGGTTCGGCACAGCCACGCTGCCGGCACATTTAGGTGCGACCAAGACATTCACGCAAACCCGCGCAGAACAGACCGAGCACATCTCAACCCTGCATAGCTCCCTCTCCCACCTGCACACGCACTACACGAACTTCTCCCACGCCTACACTGCCTCCCTCGCAGAAATCCAGCGTCGACACACCTACAACGCACACGTTCTTTCCATCATCGAGTCAACACTCGAGGAACTACGGGTGTTGGGTGAGGAGGAAGAGGGAAGGAGGAGTGGGTGGAGGGAGGAATGGGGTGGGTGGTTGCCGGAGGGGTTGTGGAGAGGAGTTGGGGAGGGAGGGATGGGGGTCCATGTTGAGGTCAGGGAGGAGGGGGGGTTACCGGTGTTGAGGGGACGAGTGCCTGATGAATAGACTGCAAGATCTATGTTGAAGAAGTTTGGGGAAGGTTATTCTTTGATGAGGGGGCGAGGTGTACGAGACCGCCGTTTGGGACGGGCAATGGCATGGTGTTCTTTCCATTTCGACGGTCGAGTTCATGCGGTGGGTCCATGAAGACACGGACAATGCATCTCACTTGCTTGGTGCCTTGGCTGTTACATCAGCGGAACCTGCCTTTGTCTTTGCGTTCGCTGTAATGGCGGAAGCAGTTAAGGAGACGTGTTAAGTACGGGGATGCGTTGGCTGTGCAGAGCAATGCTCTTGCCTTACTTCTCGCCATACTCTTGTGGATGGCAGTCCGGGTCCCGAGCTCCATGAAATGGTGGCAACACAATCCCTATAATGACAAAGTCAAGGCCGTATGGAAGCGCGCTGTGAACATGTCCGTCTACATTGCTTATCTTGTGTTGATGCCGGCTCTTCTTGTCGCTCCGGCTGTGTTCGTAGCCCGTATGTTTATCAGATGAAGAACATGTGGGCTAGCATTGGTACGGCGTTAAGGACAGCGTGAGTGATGAGTGTGCACGCCTTATGGTTTCAGTCTTGACTTTCGGATATGAATTTTGCGTACGGGAGTATTCGTTATCCGAGCTCTCAAGATAACCGCAGTAATGACAAGAGGAGGCCCACCTAATTTCACTTTCTTCTTGGCTTCTCTTGAAGTATCATCTTTCGAATATCCTTCGTAGCTATGCAAACTGTTAAGAATGCACTGTTGTCCGCTCTCAGCTTTACCACCTCCCCCATCTCGCCGGTATCACAATCCACAACGCAATCATCGCCCCAATCAGCCCAATAACGAGGCCTTGTATCGCACTTACACCCCTTGCACTCGCCACGACTCCCGCGATAAACGGAAATGCCGCCCCACCAGCGCCTCCCACCGCCGCAATGAACCCAATCGCACTGACATGTACCTCGCGCGGCAGGGTCTTGCTCGCCAATGAGACTGCGATGGGGAACAGTGGTCCAAGAAAGAACCCAAGAAATGAGACGCAGATTGCACCGACGATGAAGTGGGGGATGAGCCAGAAGAGGAGGTGGAGGGCGAGGACGACACAGAGGTACACCGTACCCGCGAGCTTCTCTCCCATTCGTGCGGTGGGGAAGGGCAGGACGAATCGTCCAGCGGTGATACCGAGGAAGAAGCCTGTGGCAACCCATCCGGCGTCTGATTCGGAGGCGTGTCGGACATCTTCCATGTAGGAAACGACCCAACCCCCGAGAGCAAACTCCATACCAACGTAAAGTAGACAGAAGATGCCAAAGAGCCAGGTCAAAGAGTACTTCAGTGCATCCTTCAGGTTTTTCTGGCCTGTCGTCAAGTCGGTGGAATTGTTCTTTGCCTCCTCTTCAGACTCCAACGGCACCTCGACAACGGCCGTCACCGACTCCTCACCCGTCGAAGCCGAGTTGCATTTTTGGGTTCGTTCACTCCAGTAGGCCACACCGACGAAGACCCACGCCAGGACACTCACTCCGATCATGACAAAGTAGTAGTCATGCCAAACCTTCCCCTTATCAATCAACCCCTGCGTAACAATAATCGGCGCAACCGCTGCCCCCAACCCATAAAACCCATGCAACGCACCCAACAACTTTGTCGCACCCGGCAACCCTCCCAAAAACGTATTAAACACTGCCTCCTGCACACCCAAACCAAGCCCCGAAAACAGGTACGAAATGATGAAGAGTGGGAGGGGTGGACCCCAGCAGAGGAGGACGTAGCAGAGGCCTTGAGTTGCGATCGCAAAGAGGGAGATGTAGAGCATGCTGTGGAAGATGTGGGTGAGGAGGAGGGAGGCGGTACTACAGGCGCAGATGTAGCCGACGAATTGCATGAGGAAGACGAGGGAGGCGACGGCGTGGGAGATATGGTAGTATTCCTCGATCTATGGATGGCGTGGTTAAAACGTGAGGAGGACGGTGGAGTGCGTAGTGGAGACATACCCGAGGGATCAGCGCACCAACCGCCCCATCATTGAGACCAAAGACGAAGAAAGCAAAGTATGCAGATGCAATTTTTGGAACAAGCCATGGTATTCCAGTATGCACTTCGCCTTCCTCACCTGCAGCGACCTCGACATCCTTCGCTTGGCTCTGTCTTTTCTCCTCTTCATTGGTCGTCTTATTCAGATTCGTGCGTTCGGGGATTGGCTTTTCCATCAGGTAACAATCTTGAACCGTGATCTCGTCATGGCGTGTCGACATAGTCGTCCACAATCGCAAACAACCCTCGTGGATAGATCAGGTATCAAGCGCTTGCTTCTGGCAATGCGTTCGTGTGCGGGTAGGCGTCTGAAACCCAGCAACTCGATACAAGTTGCCAGTACCCTTGGCGAGCTACTGTCGATATACCGGAAAAGAATAATGCTGATCCAGCACGCGAAATCCAATCACGTCGACGGAACAACAACAGCCTTGTTGAAGTTCGATTGCCTTTCCGCACGCCTTACTCTAAGACTAATTGCTGCCGAAGCTGATGAGTCGATGTTGCGGTTCATCTCGTAAACCGTCGGGAACTTTGCCGCCGTCGTTCGATTTGGCGTTCGCTTGCGCATGGGGCACCTCCCGGCCCCGCGTCTTCCGTTGCGGTGGACAAGTACACCCGGATGCTTAAGTATGTAGTTTAAGGTTTAGAAGAAAAGAAAGTCCATTGTCAATTGTTCGTATATGTGTAAGTTTAGAGGACATTGAACAGTATATCTCACCCTTTGCGAAGAGCCAATTCCCACTTCCTCCGTATGACAAAAACCGAACTTCATATAGACATCCATCACGCAAGAAGTAGCAATATTCACCTCCTGCATCAGTCATAGAAAAACGGCATAATCATCTGACTCCGACGTGACGAGGCAGTTGCCCCGATCCCTCCTCCGGATCTATGCGACAACGATCAAGTTCCAGGCGCGTATTATGATGATCCCCGAGCAATAACGATATTCACCCCTCAATGACAACCTCGAATCACCCACCCAAACTTCTAGTCACAGCACTCCCCCTCCCGGGCTCCAACATCCCATACTAACAACCCCACCGTCAACCCACTCACACCCCCCCTCCTCCGCACTCCTCGAAACCCCAACCAACCCCGTAACCCCCCCACTCACCGTCCTCACAACCCTCGCCTGACCCACTCCTACTCCCACTTCCAGTGTTTGTCCTTGTTGCGTTTCGGCGGCAGAAGGCGAGGACGAGAGTCGTTCACCAAGGGATGTGACGGCGTGGTGTAGTCTCACCTCACGCGAGAAATCTGAACAGCGGCGGACGAGACGGCGCATGATAATTTTTGAGGGGTTATAGGGTTCCCGTTCTCCTTGTTCAGCTCCTGGACTGGATGTCGTGGGGGACAATCCAGGTCTGCATTGTATGGTGATGGAAGAAGGGACGCTGCGAGCCATGGGCGTGAGAGTGGGAACCGTGTCGGGACCCATCGCGTGATATTTCGGCGGCGCGGGTGGTAGGTCTCCGTACCCAGGTGGTCCCATCTCCAATTCAAACTGTAGATCATCGTCGGGTGGACAAACGTAAAACTGGATTTCCTCCGGCGTGAAAGAGATGGGGACGATTGGTTCGCTGCCGAGAGAGGAGCGGGTCGAGGAGGTTAGGGTTGATGGGAAGCTGTGAGGGGCGCGGGAGTACGAAGGTCGGTGTGGGGGTAATGGAGTGAGTGCTTGGAGACCCCAGGGGTTTGAAGACATTGTGGTGGTCGGATTTGGGTTTGCGGTATGTGATAACTCCTTTGTAGCAGCAGTATGACGTGCCAGAATAGCTGAGGGTAAGGACGAAGGGTTATATACCCACACTCCCCGAGGTAATTCTGGTCAGGAGTTCGGAGCCGAACCTGTGGATCTCTAAGCCCGCCGGAGGCCGTATTTCAAGCTACGTACGCCAATCCTCAATTTCCTCGGAAATCAAGCTTATCTCCCACCCATGCCATTCCGTAAATCCCTGCTCATCTATGCTTAAACCCCTCGCAATAAGAATCCATATGGAAAACACATGCTTGGTGGGCCGGCGGCCGAGGTATAACCTCGGCGTTGGCAGCTGGACTTCGAGTCTGGGCGGGCGGTCGTCGGCTGCTGGCGGTGTGCCGCGGTTAGAGTTTTGGGCGTAACATGAAGGTAGCATATGGATTGCCCGGGAGTGCCCCGGTACCGCATCCCGCGAGGATCATATAGATGATTCTTGATTTGCGGTTGGAAACACGTATCGACGAAGGGTTGGACTGTGATTGTTCGCCGTGCGGAGCTGTTTGAGGTTACTGGCATGCGGTCATGTAGGTAACCTTGTCCCGTGCCGGCGCCTTATGGTGTGCGAGTTTGGGGTGGATTGCGTGCAAATCAAACGGAAGTCTTCCCGCCAATATGGATTCAGAATGGAGAATCATACATTCTTAAGGCTTCCGTAGGGGTGTCGAATCGAGCGGGAAGGGTTGATCCGGATGCACATACCCTGCCCATGACCACTAAGCAGGTTTCGCAACGAGCCAGGCGAGACGGTACAATGCAACATGAAACTTAACTGAAGACAAGACAATGCAATTGTCGACGCCTGTACTTCAAGATACCTTACGTAATTATCATAGAGATAACCCTTGCAGCAACTTTAACCCCTGCCTACCCAAGCCCGAGCCCGACCAACATTGACGTCCTGAAGTCTTCGTGGACGACCATCTCGAGTGATTGCAATTGGCATATCCGTCTACAACTCTTCATAATAATTGCGAATAAGGATTGATTTTGCACTTCATCGAACTTCATGACAGAAACCACCAGGTCTCGAGACACAGACCCCCTCCTCTCCCGCGACTCCGCCGAGCTCCACCGCGTCCACCATCCTCATGACGAACTTCGGCACTCCTTCGACGCCACCTCTGATGAAGAACAACATCTTCAGCCCACCTCTCCCACAGACACATTCCCACACACGCCAAAAATCGATTACTGGAATGGCTTAGCACTCATCATCGGCCTCCAAATCGGATCCGGGATCTTCTCCTCCCCGGGTATGATAACATCACACGTCAACTCCCTCGGCGCCTCACTCGTCGTATGGCTCGTTTCTGGATTACTAGCATGGACGGGTGCTGCGACATACGCAGAGCTCGGTACCTCTCTTCCCGAAAGTGGTGGACCAAAGGCGTATTTTGCGAGGGTGTATGGACCCTTACCGAGTTTTTTGTTCCTGTTTACTGTCATTGGGTGTTTGAAGCCCGGTACGGTCGCAATTATCGCAGTCGTGTTCGCTAGCTACGCAACGAGGATGTTTGGTGTCGAAAGCCACGAGGGGAGTGTTCTGGAGCGGTGTATCGCCGTTGGTATCATTTGGTGCGTCATCAGTATCAACATGCTTGGCGCGAAAGAGGGGATGAGAGTCGGACGATATCTCGCGGTTCTCAAAGTCAGCGCAGTCTGCTCTGTCGCCGTTTTGGGCGCAGCGACACTCTTGAGCGGCCATGCCGTCCCCGATTTCAAGCGCCCATTATTCGAAGGGTCGAGCACGGATCTCGGTGACTACGCCCTCGCATTCTACTCCTCCCTCTGGGCCTACGAAGGTTGGGATAACGTACGTCACGCCTCCTATTCCCTCCTCGAAATACACAGAAACTGACATTGGAAGCATAAGGTAAACTACATCACCGCAGACCTCCACAACCCAACCCGCCTCCTCCCCCTAATCCTCCACTCCGCCCAACCCCTCGTAATAACCCTCTACCTCCTCGCAACCCTCTCCTACTCCACCGCACTCCCCTTCCCGCTCCTAACCTCCTCCCACGCCATCGCCGTCGATTTCGCGGATGCGGTGGTGGGACGATGGGGGGGCGTGGTGTTTGGGGGCGTTGTGGCAGCGAGTTGTGTGGGGGCGTTGAATGCGACGGTGTTTACGGCAAGTAGATTGTGTACGGTCGCGGGTAGTGACGGTAGCATCCCGCGAATATTTGGTTGGGTTCATCCGGAGCGGGGGACGCCAATCCCTGGACTCCTCCTCCAAGGCTCGATTGGGATGTTGTTGGTGTTGTTGATCCCAACTTTCTCGCGGTTGACGGCGTTTTATGGAATTTGTGGGCTGGCGTGGTATTTTACGGTCGGGGTTGCAGCGTGTGTGTTGCGCTTTAAGGAGCCGGGGTTGGTGAGACCCTATAAGGCGAGTTGGGGCACGTTGCTTGGGTTTGTGGGGGTTGGGGGGTTCATGCTCGTTAGGGGTGTTATTGCTGAGCCAGGGATGACGGTTGCTGTCAGTGGTTTCTTTGTGCTTGGGATTGTGGTGTTCTTTTTGAAGGGGCAGCCGAAGATGGTGACGGCGCCGAATGATGTCGGGGGGAATTGATAGCTAAGCGGTATCGTCTCATGATGAGATATAACAGTGATCATAGGTATGATATTGAAAACTGAAACGATGACGACTAACAGCCTGTTCGAATAAGAATACTGGTACAAGGAGAGAAAAGACATCAATCCTCGACGCGCCATCCTGCACTCCGAACCGCAAAACACATAGAAAAAGCCAGTCTTTGACACATATACACCTCAGCTATCCCCAATGTCAAGCTATGTTTTTCATCTTACCACCGCACAAGAAGGCCACGAACACAGCCGTGCAGATACAGAGAGCAGGCATGAACACAAGGTATGCGACGAACACGAAAACCTCCATGGCGCCCTCTAAAATATTCTTGAGTTGCCCTGAACACTTGAACTCCCAGAAAATGATGGGGACGCGTCCGATTAAAAGCAGGAAGAGCCCAATGAGCGAGATCAGAGCTTTGCTTTGCACAGTCAACGCAGCGGAATAACCCGTATCCTTGACTGCCTCGGCCATTACGGCAAATACTAGCACGAACGCAAACTCCGCAACCGTAATAGCCAGGGCGCGCAGAAGATGTGCTACATCCTGGTTATCCTTGCTCCGAAGTGACTCCAGGAATTCACCTGCTGAGATGTAGGAGACTCTTAACGTCACCATCAAGAGTACGGATGTCGTGAAACCTCAGCCAAAACAATAGATGATATTGCAACCTGAATGAAGACGGGAAACTCCATACCGAATAACCAATGCAACTCCCCAAAAACCCGCAAACACTCTTTCTCCTCTTTTGAGTCCGACTCATGCCATGAATTTCGCCAAGACGATATACCCAACAACCAACGCAACAATCGCCATTTTCTTCCCGCTCCAGCCGATACCTCCGACTCTTGCTTGTCCATGCGCCGGTCCGGCTGGTGCAATAGCTCCATCTGCGGTGGTAGTGGCACCGTTCATCGCAGCAGCGAATTTGGCGACGCGGGCTTCCGCTTCCTGCTCCGCGATCATTCTCAAATTCTCCGCCGTCTCCTCCGGAAACTCCTCCACAAATTTCTGACTCCTCGCATTATACGCTCTGCTCTGAGCAGCATACACCTTCCGTTGTTCGACCGTCGTATTCATACTCCCCGTGGTAACCTCCTCCCCCGTCATAAAACTAACCAACCCAACCAAAATCGTACCAACAGTCCATGACGGATTCCAACTCTTCGGATGGAAATCACTAATACTCAGGCAAATCCTCGAATTAATCACGAAGCGACCACTTGGTGTATGCATTCGAATTGCGGGGGGTTTGAAGGGGTATTCGGGGGGGAAGACGAGGGTTCCGTGATATTGGCCGTTGGCGTAGGGGGTTGAGGGGGGACCGGTGATGATGAAGTGCCATTCGAGGATGTTGCGGTCGGAGGGGTGTGCGGAGATGTAGGGGGGTGGGGAGTGTTGGAGGTTGAGATATTCTTTCGTTAGCTGTGGGAGAGATGTGTTAGTTCGTGACGAGGAGGATGGGAATGGACGTTGCGTGCCCGTTTGTAGGCGGCTTTGCTGGCCATTGTTGGGAGTGAATGCTGGGTGTTTGGTGTTTTGGTGGTGAGTTTCGTATGACGGTGTGTGGCCGGTGCTGCATCCGCCTGCGTCCCCCAACCAACGCAAATGTTGCGAGAAGGGATAGCGAGTGTAACGTCGACGTCGACCTCGAGATGGACGGTTTAAAAGAGACGGCAGGGACGTTTTGGAGAACGTGCTCTGAGTATGTACACCCACCACCGCCGATCCGGGAACAAGTCCCCCTAGAAGATGCTCAATTCAAAGCCGAACGAGAAGCGAGGGTCCAAGCACAGATACAGCTCTCCTACGAACGCGCAATGGCACGGCTATCGGAAATGGTACGTCGACGAATATCCACTTCATTGTTGTCACTGAGAACTGATTTCGTTGATATACAGATCGACCGAAACGCGAGTAAGCCTGCACATATCTCCTCCCTCCGCGTCCTCGGCGCCAACAAGACTCGACCTGGATTCTTGCAGGCTGTGTTAGAGCCACACCTCGCCGCAGCACAAGACCCCGAAGCGACTTTTGCGACAGTCTTGAACTCGATCCAAGCCGCTGCCGAAAAACTAGAGCGCTTCGATATCTTTCATGGGGTCTCCGTCGATCTCGACACGGCGGCTAGAGATCCACACGGTTTAGCCGCACTCATCCATGTCCGGGAAAAGAGCCGCTGGAAAGCGAACAGTGGAACGGAAATGGCGCAACACGACCAAAGCGCCTACGCACGATTCACCCTCCGAAACATCTGTGGCGGGGCAGAATTATTGGAGGGACAATTCTCCTACGGCACAGTCACCCGAAACGCGTTCGAGGTGCGCCTCGAGTCCCCGGTTAACGCGAGTCCGGATACGAAAGTCGAGGTTGCGGGGTGGAATTCGAGTACGGATAAGAAATTGTGGGCGGGGCATGAGGAGGTATCGAGGGGTGGGGCGGTACGGCTGCGACATGCGGATCCTACACCGGGGAGTGGGATGCATGAATTGGGATGGATGGGTGTATGGCGGACAAACACCGGGATGACGGAGACAGCACCACACTCAATCCGTGCCAACGCGGGTGATTCGGTCAAGAGTGCCATCTACCACACCTACATACGAAAGACATTCGATCACCCACTCCTCCCCACATCCGGTACCTATCTTCGCCTCTACAACGAAATCGCTGGTGCGTCGCTCGGACCGCTAGGCTTGGGCTTGGGTCTGGGTGGCGACACACACTTCCTCAAATCCGAGATCCATTCTCGTGTGGTGACGCCACTCCACCTCCCCACCTCAACAACCCTCTCCCTCAGCCTCCGCGCAGGCGGACTCTGGGGTCTACGAGGCATCACGCGCCCCAACGACCGTTTCTTCCTCGGTGGTCCATCAGACGTACGAGGGTTCGCATTCAACGCGCTCGGACCCCGCGAAAACAACTACAGTCTCGGCGGGGACATCTACCTCGCTTCCGGCCTCGCGATCGCGACTCAAATCCCATATCTCCCCACCTGGCCCGCACGCCTCCACACCTTCCTCAACGCTGGCTCCTTATCTCCCATTGACCAAACCAAACCGCTGGGGGCACAGGTTCGGGAAGTGGTGGGGAGGGGGAGTGTGGCAGTGGGGGTTGGTGTTGTGTGTGCGGTGAGGGGAGTTGCGAGGGTTGAGGTTAATTTGGGGGTGCCGGTTGTTACGAGGGGTGGGGAGCGGGCTGTGAAGGGGGTTCAGGTTGGATTGGGGGTGGAGATGTTGTAAGGGGGAAGGGGGTCCGAAGGAACCTCGCCGAGGGCGGTGGGTAGAAAAGGATCGACGGCGTGAGAGCTTGAGGTTGGGGATATTGAGGGAAGAGTATAAAAGGGGGGGGGATGTGTAGGATATAGAGGGTGAGATGGACGATAGCATATGCATGATAGTAGACTTTAGTGGTAAAAAGATATCATCCGTTGTACGAAACTAGAAGGAGACTACCTAGATAGGTGGGGTGTCATTAATCGAGATCTCGTAGACATATGCATGAGTTTGATCTTCCTACGAACGGCACACAGGCGACGCGTCGACCCGCAAGGACGCCCATAACCGCGTCCAATTGAATCGTAAAAAGAAGATCAGAAGATGTCACGGGAAAGCATCTGGGCGTCGAGGAGAGAGGAGGGGATTTTCGAACTCGATCGACAGACCCGCCCGTTACGGAGACGTAACAAACTCTGCTCCCTTTCGCATAACTTCACATTCTCCCTTTCCATAACTTCCCATAACCTTAATTTCTGGAGCAACCCGAAAATCGGCACGTCCGGCACTTTTCCATGCTGTCTGATTGGGCCCCGAGCGATTCCCCGCGGCGGCGACGAAAAAGTCCCGCCACCACCGACCGACGAAACGATCTGTTTATAAACTCCAAAAATACGGACCCATACTCGGTCAATTACCCATTAATAACGATGCCTGGAGTTACCGGAGCACGTACTCTCTACGACAAGGTCTTCGACGACCACGTTATTGACCGCCAGGATGACGGAACCTGCTTGATCTATATCGACCGTCACCTCGTTCACGAAGTTACTTCTCCCCAGGCTTTCGAGGGTCTCCGCAATGCCGACCGTAAGGTTCGCAGACCAGACTGTACCCTCGCTACTGTCGACCACAACATCCCCACCGCCTCGCGCAAGAACTTCAAGAACGCCGAGACTTTCATCGAGGAGCAGGACTCTAAGGTGCAATGTATGACTTTGGAGGATAACGTCAAGGCTTTCGGATTGACCTACTTTGGTATGACCGACAAGCGTCAGGGTATTGTTCACGTTATCGGCCCTGAGCAGGGATTCACCCTTCCCGGTGCCACCATCGTCTGTGGTGACTCTCACACCTCCACCCACGGTGCTTTCGGTGCTCTCGCTTTCGGTATCGGTACCTCGGAAGTTGAGCACGTTCTCGCTACCCAGACCCTTCTCCAGAAGAAGTCCAAGAACATGAGGATCGCCGTCGATGGTCAGCTCGCCGAGGGTGTCACCTCTAAGGACATCGTCCTCCACGTTATCGGTGTCATCGGTACCGCTGGTGGAAATGGTGCCGTTATTGAGTTCTGCGGTTCTGCGATCGAGTGCTTGTCCATGGAGGCGCGTATGTCTATCTGTAACATGTCCATCGAGGCTGGTGCCCGTGCTGGTATGATCGCCCCCGATGACATTACCTTCGAGTACCTCAAGGGCCGTCCCCTCGTTCCTCAAACCGAGGAGGAGTTCGCCAAGGCCGTCGAGTACTGGCGTTCTCTCCGCTCCGACCCCGGAGCATCTTACGATATCGAGGTCTTGGTTGACGCCAAGGACATCATTCCTACCGTTACGTGGGGTACCTCCCCCCAGGACGTCGTCGGCATCACCGGCAAGGTCCCTAACCCCGCCCACTTCGATGACCCTGCCAAGAAGGCTGGTGTTGAGCGTGCCCTTAAGTACATGGGTCTCGAGGCCGACACCCCTATGGAGGAGATCAAGATCGACAAGGTCTTCATCGGATCCTGCACAAACTCCCGTATCGAGGACTTGCGTTCCGCCGCCAAGGTCGTCAAGGGCAAGATGGTCGCCAAGGGTATCTACGCCATGGTCGTCCCCGGATCCGGTCTCGTTAAGAAGCAGGCTGAGGCTGAGGGTTTGGACGAGGTTTTCCGTGCTGCTGGATTCGACTGGCGTGAGGCCGGTTGCTCTATGTGCTTGGGTATGAACCCTGATCAGCTCAGGCCTGGAGAGCGTTGTGCGTCTACCTCTAACCGTAACTTCGAGGGTCGTCAGGGTCCTGGTGGACGTACTCACCTTATGTCCCCCGCTATGGCTGCTGCTGCTGCTATCGAGGGTCGTCTGGCTGATATCCGTAAGGTGATGACCCCTGGTGAGGGTAACGTCGCTTCCGACGGTGCACCACACGTCAAGGTCTTTAACCCCAAGGACGTTCTTGAGGATGACGACGTCGTCGCTGGACGCAAGGAGGACGACCACGATGCCGAGCAGGCTGACGTCGTCACCGACGCTCCCTCCAGCAGCAACCTCTCCGCTGGCAATGGTGCTATGCCTTCCTTCACTCAGCTCAAAGGTCTCGCAGCTCCCCTCGACATCGCTAACGTCGACACTGACATGTTGATCCCCAAGCAGTTCTTGAAGACCATCAAGCGTACCGGTCTCTCCGCTGGACTCTTCTACGAACTCCGCTTCAACCCCGCCACCGGCGAGAAGAATCCTGACTTTGTCTTGAACAAGGAGCCCTACACTAAGGCTTGTATCATGGTCTGCACTGGACCTAACTTCGGATGTGGATCTTCCCGTGAGCACGCTCCTTGGGCTTTGAACGACTTTGGTATCAGGTGTATCATCGCTCCCTCCTTCGCCGATATCTTCTTCAACAACTGCTTCAAGAACGGCATGCTTCCCATCCCTCTTCCCCAAGAGCAAGTCAACCTCCTTGCTGACGACGCCCGTTCCGGCGCTGAGCTCGAGATCGACTTGGCTGAGCAGGTTATCCGTCGTCCTAACGGCGACACTGTTTCCTTCGAGGTCGAGGCTTTCAGGAGGCACTGTTTGTTGAATGGATTGGACGATATTGGTCTAACCCTCCAGAAGGCCGACAAGATCTCCAAGTTCGAAGAGAGGAGAACGGCGGAGTGGCCTTGGTTGAATGGAAAGGGATACAAGGAGGGTGAGGCTATGAAGATCAAGGTGCACAAGGAGAAGAAGGCTGGTGGTAAGCTTGACTGGTAAACATGGGCATGGCGTTTGAGGAGGTGTATAGATAGGACGAAGTGAAATGAATGGGAACGGTGTACGTCAAAATTTTGGAGTTCTAGTGGTTTCGTAATATGTTATGTTTGGTTACCTCATAAAGGGGCTTTGCCTTGTCCGCTCTCTTCGCATTCGACACACCGGATCGCTTTCTATATCTGGTGCGAAACGACATTGTATCAACCTTCACTTCCGCACGGGTATCTGCATTTCCAAATGTGCGGCATTCGCGAACGCCGGTAGTCCTTCGTCTCGGTCTTCCGATGCCGTGCCCCCCCTAAATAGCGATCGATATCCCCACATTACCCAATCACAGCAGCCTACTCCCACCACTTCACATTCCCTAATCCTTCCCTCGAACAACTCCCAATAACCTGATATGGCGGAATTCCATCTTCAAGAAGCTCGGCACCCTCCTCCGCCGCCCTTCCAGTCATCGGCCTCTTATCCGTAAACACCTCATCCTCTACCCGAAATCGGATGGTATCGTCCACATCCAGAAAAAGGTCAATGTCTTCTTGATGCCATATCCACCCTCCTTGTGTCGCGTCAAACTCCGTTCCTTCGAAGAGTTCTGAGGCCGGAATGAAGATGTCTTCGAAGAACCCTAGGGACACCTTAATCCCCTCCGCTCCAACCCCCTTGATCCTGCCCACCAACACCTCGCCCCTAAACGGCCTCCACACAATCAAATTGAACTCAACCTGGACATAACTATTTCCATCCCCATACTTGATTGTGCCGTCGGCTGAGGAGAGGATGGAGTGTAAGGCTATGCAGAGACCGATGGATTGGAGGACGCGGTTGGCGTATTTAGCGTTTATGGCGTCTTCGAGAGTTACGTGTGTTGGGCGGTTGAAGTGTTTTGGCTGGATTGGGATCACGTCGGAGAGGGTTGATAGCATGAACATTGCGACGGTGTTCTTGGAGCGATCAGGACCGTTGCGGGGTGATTTGAAAAGGCGGACTTGATGGTTAATGAATCGATAGGCTGCGATGATTGTTCCTTTAGTTTTCCTGGCTTCACGGGTCTCGTAGACGGTCTTTTGTTGGTGTTTAGTTTTGTGTATCTTCATTACCGACTTTGTCCCCTCGAGCCCTGCAGCTCACGTGATTCGAACGCACGTGCCCGCCCGCGGCCGAGAGCAGCTGTTCGTGGGAAGCAACGAGACAGTCGTGAGATGAGACGTGAAGACCCCTATTTCACAGCTTCAAGTCGTCAAAATGCTCTCCCAAGCTCTCTGGTCCTGATGATGCTGTTCCCTCGCCCAGCAAAATTCTCCCTGGCTGTTTCGAATGCCCGGGTCCCTGGTTTTGGTCCAAGGATGGCGACAAGAAAAGGTTCGAAATGTGCTTGTGTAACAAGCCAAATGCATTTTGCCAATGAATATTACCCCGCATACCAAATCTCACCCTCTAACGGCTCTGTTTGGTGTCATTCTTGTTCGGTTAGGGCCGCAGACGTGAGCAAAAAGGGACAAACGCGTGTGTACCACATGAGGGGACCCAGTGCAGCCAAAAAAGGCGACACTATCCTCCAAACATGTTATTATACCCAACAAAGTTCACTTTCCCAAGTGGATCATGATGCCATGTCGCGGGCCAACTTCGTACACGGTGGTGCCGCGCTTCCCGCTGACGGGTGTACATTGGAGGGACAAACTAAATCCTCCAGAAGTCTTTCCAAGAAGTCACACAATCGTGTTGTATGTTACAATCGTGACTATCTTTTAACCCATGAGCTTTCTTGCCTATGTCCCAGTGTCACGGTTCGATCGTGCGAGTACGCGTGCCTTGAGCAGATTCTTCACGAGGCAGTTTGAACAGTAAAAGGTCAATGCGACACGTACTCTTACTTCCAGCTGTACTCCATACTTTGAAACCCTTGGTTACTGCTCCATAAAGCTGGTCCGCGCAACTACCGTTACCAGCATTGCCGCATTGGGCGATATGCACGCGTGCACGCTAGGACTGCGGCATGCAGCACTTCCGACCTGGGCTACGGATCACTTCAACCGCCGGTTTCAGAAGCGAAGTCTGCGTAAAACATAACGAGTTTTATCTTCGGAGCTCCCAGCTACTGCTCGAGTGGAATAGAAGACTGTTGTCTTCACAGAGCGCGTTTCCGTGCCATTAATCTGCCTCGCGTTCGAATGACAGTTGACGCACGGTCACGCCGGTCAAAGCAAATGAAGCAGTTCAAATAAGTGGCCAGCATACTAGTCCTGCCGATGCTTTATCAGGCGAATGATCCTGGAGCTTTTGTCACTGGCCAGATTGGGACGTAATGCCTGACGCATTCGCAACAAAAACCAGGAATCCAGCACACCAGCTGCTGTAACTCTACGCGCGTGGACGTCTGTTACGCGCCGACGTTGCTTACAAGTTACTGAAAGTGGTCTATCCTACCGATCGGTAGGTCATAGCGTCCCAGGTACCTGATCCTGCGCTGCAGACCTGCGAGATTGACGTATGTATACCTAACCGGGAAGGTTCACAAGACTCAGGGTTGTCTCACTGCTTCGGGAAGCAGATATCTTGGACTAACGAGATGAGAGAATGCCCGAGGCAGAAACTGCCGATCGCTCAGTAAAGACGTTGAACAAGCGTAGAGAAGGTGGAGAAAAGCTGAGGCTGACATTACGTGAGGAGACTGAACATTGTAGGGATTTACCTTGCCCAGATCTGCTTCCTTCTTCTCGTTTTGACCATGTGCGCCAGTCAATTCCCTAACCTTCCGTTTGTGGCACCCTGAGCTGCGCGCATCCGCGAGCTAGTCTCAAACCGGCCCACGCTCACCTATGACACCTCCGTCCTCCTCAATCCTCACGACTCTGCATCTTCTTCCTCTTCCGTCGATTTGCATCGCTCTGTTCTACTCGTCTGCTCTTCTGCTCTGGCACCATCGTTACTAAAAGCCGCTCCTCCTCCCTCCTCGTCCTCTCCACCTACCACCCACACATACACACACACACACACACACACACAGATATCGCGTACAGAGCTCTCGCTCCCTCGAGTTATCGAACAGCTTGTATTTTTATCGCTACTCGAGGTTATCACCAGCTCTATATCTATCGCTATGTCTGTTTTCAACCCTAACAAAGTTATCGACGGAGAAAGTTTCATCCAGCAGCATACATCCCCATCCACCGAACACGTCTCGCTCCAACGGCCTGAACCGGCGCATATACCCACACAAATCTCTTTCGAAGGTCCCGAAAGGCCTACAACGTCGTTCGCGTTTTGCGAGGGCGGGTGTTTAACACCACCAGCGCCAGTCCTCACGCTCTCGCCTACAGCCACTCAGATTGCGAAACCTGACGCCGACGTATTCTTCCTCCAGGGAGCCATTAGTAAGCATCGCGACGTGTTCGACACTCGCCAGTCCGAGCACTTGCGCAGACAACGGGAGGTGCTTGGCGCGGCGACGAGCGTGGAGGCCGGTTTCTGGGGTTCCGTGAACAGAGCGGAGCAGGATAATGCCAAGGGCGTGGCTGCTCGCTGTGAACAAGTTCAAAGTCCTCCGGCGCACGAAAAACAAGAGCCTTGCGTTGCACCTGTTCTGCTTTTGACTCAACCAACCACCGCTCCTTCACCCGTTCTCCCTACCGTCGCAGCCGAGCTCTTCACTGTCAACAGCCAGTTTATGACCCGCACCTTGTCGCAGGATTCTGGTTCAGTGTCCACCCCTGGCCTGGTCATGACTCTATCATCCAGTCCGCAAGGAGCATCAGGCTCGCCGCTTCATACTCCTCCCATACTTTATGGGAAGGGGATTGAGGCCGCAAAGATTCAAGTCACTGCTCCCGGACTCGATGCTCCTGAAGCTCCGGTGACAAAGCAAGCTGCCTCCCTCAAGAAGGACATAAATGCCGCTCCCCCTAATCCCACTGAGTGCACTTTCCACGGCAAGACCTACACTACCCTCCCCGTGGAGCACCAGCCCAAGTCCGGCAGGCCCGGCGAGGAGTGGTTTTGTCCATTCCACAACGTCCGTAAAGCCCCACGTGCCTGCGAAAAGAACTGGCGTACCTTTACCGGTATTCGCAAGCATTTCGAGCAGCACCACCAAGGCTGTCCGATCCCCGCGCCTACCCAGAATGTCGGGCCTGTCGTTGCGCGCTTTAGCGGAACCATGGTTGAGAAGAGGATTGATTTTGGAGTTCAGGACCAGGCTCGTGAAGGACGGGGCATCTTGATCCCCACCGAGCCGAACCAGAAGAGGAAGGCGAAGGGTGAGGACGTGCTTGGCATCTTCGAGCCCAAGAGAGGTGGGAAGCGTATGAGGTTCGATGCACCCCTCGGTCGTCCTAACCCCCTGGTTCAGTGGGCGAAGAATGGACAGCAACCCATGATCCCTCTTTACATTCCGACGCCCGTGGCGGCTCCTGCTCCTCAGGTTTACTTCCCCGTTCCTGTTCCGACTTTGCAGTACCCCGTTCCTGCTCAGGTTCCGTACAACATGCAAGTCCCGAGGACGGTGCCTACGATGCTTACCATGACACCCGGGTTCCGTGGCTTCTCGTTCGATGACATGCCTATGCCCACTCAGTTCCGCGCCGGTGTCCCTCGAAACTATGGTGCGCAATACACTCACATCCCCGCTCAGGCACCTCTCTCCCACCCCGGTCTCCCCCATTGGGCCCGTGAGAGCATGAATTTCGCCGACAGCATCTTTGACCAGCGCGACCCCATGCGCATGCAAACCCAGATTAACGCGGGTGGATTTGCCAACCAGATACCCTACACGGGCTGGGAGCTGGACATTGACCAACCCAAGTCATGCAAAGTCGATAACAGCGAATTCAACTTCGCCGATTATTTCGGCAAAGCTGATGCTGATGAGAGCGCCTGTGAGCAACAGAGCTTGGGCAAGAGTCCTGAGGAGATTGCTGAGTTGGACACGCAGTGGGAGGAAATGTGTGCGTCCGCTGGACTTCATTTTGGTATGACGGCATGAACGAAAACCAAGTGTTGGGACATGAATGAAGAACAAAGAAATCGAAATAAAGCGGGTGTTTGGGATTTTGAGATGGCGTTATTAAGATTATGAGATGGACAATGGTATGGAGAAAGCTTGAGGATCATAGAGCATGGGACATTGGAACGTTAAACACTGATGGACTTTTGGATATGGGAGACGAAAGACGGTAAGGATTCTGGTTTTATACTGCGTTTACGTTTGTTTTCTGTCTTTTTCATTATCGTACAAAAAACTAGCAAAAACACCAGAAAAAAATAAAGAAAATCATGAACCTCAATTCGAACCTCTATGCATGTCCAAATTCGATGATGCTGTTCTTTTCCAATTCTAGGTTGTGCTTGAGAAATATAATATGCCCGGTGTAGTGTATAGGCAAGAGCAGCCGCTTTTTGCATTCGTGAAAGTCCAGATCCTTGACATTCATGCCCATCTCCTGCACGGTCTCAATGTCCATATAACGGGAGTAGAGGGAGTACTCGACACCCTTTGTCGTCACTTCAGCCGAGACTCCGACTTCCAGTCCTTGTCCATCTTCATCAAATACGTCGACGTTAATTCCGTCGCACATGGCCCGCACTGCATCCCAATCCCATACCACCAACAACCCTCCCATTCATACCGCACCAACCTTTTTCGCCCCCCCACCCCCCTCAACCCCAACCTCCGTCCCACAAGTCCCACACCTCCCCCCACCCTGTTTGATCATCTCGACCCCCTCTCCACAAAATATACTCAAACAAACCCCACAAACCCATCCAATCTCCACGACCCTCTTATGACAAAAACACGCTGCGCGGAAATCGACGTTTGATTGGAGGGGGAGGAGGAGGGTGGGGCGGAGGGGGGGTGGGGGGAGGAAGAGGTGGAGGAGGTATTGGAGGAGGGAGGGAGTGGGGGGGGAGAGGGGATGTGAGGGTGAGGATAGGGAGGAGGGGGAGAGGGGGAGGGGGAGGTAGAGGCCGGAGGTTGCGTCGGCGGCTTGTTGGAGAAAGGAGGTTGAGGTTCCGGTTTCGGGGTGGTCAATTGTTGTTGTGGTGGTGGAGGAGGGTGTGAGGGAGCATACGTCGATTGGAATGCGCTATGGTCGGATTAGTAAGTATAATTGCAAACGCGGGGACGGTAGAACGTACCTTCTTCTGCGCCGCAAAAATACAATTCATCATGGCCACATATCCCTCCCTCCCCTCCCCACTGACACTCAACACAAAAACCCTACTCCTGATCCCCCCCACTCCCCCGACCTCCGTCTCAACACGATTGATATACGTCAGAGCTCGTGTTAGTGCGCCGGCGATGAGGGAGGATGATTGGGTTGTGGAGGTGGAGGTTGTTGGGTGGGAGAGGAAAGAGCGGAGGTTGTGGTGGACGGTATCGTCGACAGTACGGAAGGGGCGGTAGGAGTTTGCGAGGCGGGAGTGGGTGGTGTCGTCTGTGACGGTTTCCTCACCCGCAGCTTGTGGTGGTGCTGGGGCTGGTGCTTTTGATTGTGAGGGGTTGATGTCTGGATAGAGAAATTCTGCACGATCAATATGTGACGCCAACACCGCAACCCGATTATCATGACTCAACGCAAGATGCGCATTAACGAAAATCAGTAGCTGCGCCAATGCTTTCTCGAGTGGGAGAGTTGAGGAGAGGGATCCCCACGCGAAGGGGTTCGTGTCGAGGATTACGACGAGGAGGGATGGAGTGTCGTCTGTGAATCGTGGTTAGTCCTGATCACCAGCAGACCTAGGCACGGATTCACCTTCTTGGATTGACTGGTTGGGTTGAGAGGCTTCGATGCCTTGGGGTAGGGTTTTGAAGGCGTCCATGGTTCCGTGATGGAGGTTATCTTCGTTACAGACCGATGTCGTAGCCGTATGCGGGATTCTGCACGTTCACTCAAAGTTTCGGGTACGGTGCGCGACGACAATCTCAACGCGTTTTGCTGAGGAAGGAAGATCCTTGCAATTGTTGAAAGGCAATCATGGCCCGTTCAGCAAGTCAATCATCCGGCCGCAAAGGCCGAGGCGGTAGCAGCGACAAGGGTTCCGGCTCCAAAGCAAAAGGCGGCAAAAAGGTCGAGAAGGGGTCCCAAGGCAAAAAGAAAGGCGGTCGATTCTCACAGGAGAACAAAGTCTCGAAAGATCTCAAACGAGAGATGAGTGTCGCGAAAAGCAAGGGAGACGAGAAGAAGGCGAAGAAAGCGAAGAAGGAGCAGAAGGCGCAGGAGAAGAGGGATAAGGAGGAGCAGAAGGCGAATGCGACAGTTGATACGTTGGGGGCGAATGACGATTTTATCGCTTTCGACTTCTCCGACGAAGAAGACTCGGACGACTCGTCAACCTCAGACTCTGACAGCGACAGCGAATCTGAAGAGGCGTCTGACGAGTCGAACGAGAAAGGCTTCCTCGGCCGCGCAGCAGACAAAGTCAAGAAATTCATGCAAGACACAAAATCCACCCTCTCCCTAAAACGCAAACGCGACTCCGACACCTCCGAATCCGACTCCGCCAAACGTGCACGAAAAGCCGGACACCCCTGGACCATCAACAAATCCTACTCCAACGAAAAAGAAGTCGCCCGAATCCTCCACCGCGAAATCCTCGATTTCGTAGAATACCTAGGTCCAACCCCCGAAGAACACGAATTACGACATCTCGTCGTCGAGCGCATCCGTGCAGTCGTTAGGAAGACTTGGCCGCAAACCGAGGTACGTGTGTTTGGATCGTATGATACGCGGCTTTATTTACCGACGAGTGATATCGATCTCGTGGTGTTGTCTACTGGGGCTGTGGTGTATGAGAAGAAGTCGCATTTGTACCAGTTGTCGCAGGCGCTTACACGCGCTGGAATTGCGCAGAAGATGCAAGTTATCGCTGGTGCGAGCGTGCCGATTATCAAATTTGTCGACACCCTCACACAGATCTCGGTCGATGTTTCCTTTAACAAACCCAGTGGTCTCATCGGTGCGCAGGTCATCAAGGGATATTGCCAGTCCATGCCGGCACTGCGACCATTGGTGTTGGTGATCAAGTGGTTACTCCAACAGCGAGACCTGAATGAAGTATACACAGGCGGTTTAGGCTCCTACGCCATCATCTGCATCTGCGTCTCATTCCTCCAACTCCACCCAAAACTCAGCACCCACCAAATCTCAGCCTCCGAAAACCTCGGCGTCCTCCTCATGGAATTCTTCGAACTCTACGGTTCGCGATTCAACTACGACACAGTCGGTATCTCGATCGCGGGGAACGGTGGTAAAGGCGCGTATTTTCGGAAAGCGGCACGGGGGTGGATTAATCATGGACAGACGTATTTGTTGAGTATTGAGGATCCGAGTGATGAGGGGAATGATATTGCGAAGGCGAGTCGGGGCATTATGAGGGTTAAGGCTGCGTTTAGTGGGGCATATAGTTTGTTGCAGAGGAGGATGTTTGAGGTTCATGAAGTCCATGCTGAGGGTCTTGGCTCGAAACGGGGAGGGGCGAGGCATATGAAGTTTGGAGGTGGTGAGGGGAAGGGGAAGGGGAAGGGAGAGGGGGAGGGGGAGGGGGTGCAGGAGGACTTGTGTTTGTTGAAGGCGGTTGTTGGAATTGATGAGAAGATTTTGAAGATGCGACGGAAATTGGGTGAGGTGTTTTACTCCCGCAAACTCCATAACGAACTCGGTATCAAAGAAGGCGACATGGTCATTCCTCCCCTCCCTCCCACCGACACGGGGGATTTGGGGTTGAATCTCCCGCCTGCGGCACAGGAGGTGATGAAGAATGGGGGTGATAGGGGAAGAGTGAGGAAAGGGAATGATGTCAAGTATTTGGCGGATTATCATTCGAGTTCGGCAAGTGAGGGGGAGGATCCAAGGACTGCGCATCGACATGATCCTATCGTCGTTACGGAGGTTGTGGGCTCGAGGGCACCGACCACCACCACGGCTCCGATGTCGCCGAGGAAGAAGGCACCAACCGCGGTGACGTACATCAACTCTTCCTCCGGCGACGAATCCGAAAACGGGTCCCCTAACAAGGCACCAACGGCGGTGACAGCGGAAGACAGTTTTACGGATTCGAGGACGAAGAGTGTCGGGATCAATAAGGATGCGAAGAGGAAGTATTGGGCTACGAAGGGTGGGGGAATGAGTGTGCCGACTGCGTTGGTGAAGGAGGGGAGTGGGAGTGGGGTTGTTGATGTTAGTTCGGATGATGAGTAAGAATGGACCTTCGAAGTATGTTGGTTTTGAGACGGGATATACGAAGAGGGGCAAAGAGGAGATGGAGAGGTTGTAGAAGGATGTTCTACTGGTATATTTCTGGCGTTTTGGAAGGATATTGAGAGCTCGCATAGCATGGTATAGCCCCTGTAACGTCGATGTAACGTCGATTCCTCCTTCCCGTGATCTCACCGTGCAAGGCTCGTGCACCTGCATCACCCCAAACTCCGGAGATCACCTCCAAAAAAAAAATCGAAAGAAAACAAAATAGAACATGTCACAACAAAAGCCTTGGACTGCGCGGCTTGCAGATTTTGCGCACAAGACGACTCTGATGGGGCTTTTTGGGTTGACGCGTACGTGACTTCTCTCTCCTTCAGCTGTGTCGCCTCCGAGGGATCCAACGGCGGGCTGCGGCTGCGGCTGCGAGGCGGTGTGTGAGAGAACGTTTGCTGATGTGGTGCTGCTATAGTCTATGGAACCGTCTTGACAGGCCAACTCTACTGGAACATGCGCTCACGCCGAATCGCGGCCGAGGAGGCAATGAAGACGGCAGAACTGATCGATTCGGCGAATAGCGTGCCGGATTCGAACGCGAATGTGGGAAGTGGTGTACCGGTGACGGATACTGCGCATGCGACGGAGAGGGCATGATGAGGTTGACCGGAAGATTTAGAGGGTTGGTGAATGTTTCGGGTTTTTACAATGGCGTTAAGGTATGTTCGACGGCGTTGGTGTCGTGACTTTTGCTGACTCTGATGTTGCAGGTTTCTTTTTGATTTATATATTTCTCAATGCATTGCAAGTCACATCCAATCATCTTCTCTCGCTGTCTCTTCGATATCCCCTTGTGAATCGCGGCCAAGTGATCATTGTGTGTCCTCGTTTTGCTCTTCCCGTTGCCCTGCAACCTGAGCCCTGCTCTCGTCGCTTTGTCTGGTTTGTGGCATGAAATCACCTACAATGCGCGAAGTGGCCGGTCGGTTTCTGCTCTCCAAGGTTTGTTTGTCCCTCCCGCTCTCTACTCGATCATGAGCGGTGGCATCGCGTCTCTTCAGCTTCGAGGTGAGATGCAGCGTGTATTGTAACAAACAATATTCGCAGCCATTATCATGGCGTCTCGACCAGTGCTCGTGTCAACGGTTACCGTCCTGAGGACATATGCACAGCTGCAAAGAAGCTTAAGTAGCTCCTACGGCATCCTTGGTGCTCCTGCGTCTGAACTACCAATTCATACGAACAGACCACAACTATTACTTTATATAGCTGCAGACGCTCGGGTGAGGATTTTCGACATCCGCGAAGAATACCATGACCATGGCCATGACTGCGCAGAAGGAAATACATGGGATGCATATTAATACGACTCTGACTCTGCAAAGTGAGCAGTGGTTGCCCAGTCGTTCTACAGTAACACAGGCTTGTGAAGCACGGCAGAAGAGGAAAAGGAAACATCATCATCATCATCATCATCATTGAACGGTCCATAAAACTCGGTACACAACTTGTCCAATCAGGACGCGGCAAAAAAAAGAAATGTCATAAAGCCATCTCCGAATCTCGATCGCAAACCCTTTCCATTATCCTTAAATGTGTTGCAGCGGGCTGAAATTCGTCGCATTGTCAATCTCAGCAAACAGTGCATCGAAGTCGAAACCAGGCTCATCGGTGTACTCAGGCGCGACGTCCTCGAGCTCATTCAGCAATATATCCCATCCATGTCCACCATATCCGTCTCCGGGAGCTGCTGCTCGGTAGGTTTAGGCGGCGTCCCTTGATAGCTAGTAGCGGGAGTAAACGCCGGGACTGCGCATGGAGACGACGACCACGGTTGCGATTGAGGAGTTGCTGTAAGGGATGGAGATGGAGGTGATACAGCAATGACCGAGAACGAGAGCGAGGCCTGCGTAGACGCCAGACAAGCAGGCATTGCGGAGGTGAACACAGTCACAGGCACGTCAGTATCGACCTTCCTCTTCTTCCTCGTATGTTTGGCCACTGGAAGCATAGGCACCGACGTGTGCGGATCGAGAGGAACCGGAACACGTTGCGTTTGTGGGATCGACTCGTGATTCATAGCGGCATGGAGACAAATGTCTTCCACCGTGCCAGGTGGAGATGCGCAACCGGCGACGGGGCATAACCAGAGTAGTGTCGACGTGGAGACAGGTGCTTGTCTGCACCTGGACGGATTACCGTGAGAAAGGCGGGACTGCACTGCCGGAGCTGGATTTTGGTGGGGAGCAGGGGCTGGTCGTATTGCTGATGATTGGAATAAGACTGAGGCGGTATCGAGGTGTTGCAAATACCATTGTAGGCTGGGATGTACTGCGACGATGTATGCGAAGAAATCATTTGCATCTCTTACTTGGCGTCCACACGCGGTGACTGCAGAGCGCCGCGGTTGAGAGATTTGAGCGTGGGTGAGAGCATCCGTAGACGGCAGAGCTGAATCCTGTGACGGGACTGTGACTGGTTGTCGTTTTATGTAGGGAAGCTTGGGGTGTTCTGCGGCAATGTGTGCGAGGAGATCCTCGGTATCTCTTACCGGGTGTAGGCACCATTTGACTGAACAGCACCATGATTGTGGGATATGAGAGAAGGGTTCCGGATTAGCGGTTTTGACGCAGCTTGGTATTTTGGAAGTGATGTCGGTCTTGCAATCGGCCACGCCAGAGAGATTGGTGAAAAAATCTTGGCTTGTGAGGGGAGCATGGAAGTGCAATGGTCGCTTGAAGGGTATCGAAGGGGTTGCTATGGTATCACATTCCCGCTTAACGGCGGTATGATAACCAAGACCTCCTGGCACTGTTCGCTCCTCAGGCTTCACTTCCTCCTTCTCGCTTGAGATGCCTTGGTTTCGTCCCAAGGCCTCCTCCAAGAACTCCTGTAATATGAGCCCATGCTGCTGACGGATGACGTTCTGCACCCTGACCAACTCAAGCGGGTCAAGAACTAGAAAAACCCGCCAACCCCGGGGCTTTGCGAGAGGTGGTTCCGTTAGCGCTGGGATACGCGGAGGGTTAGTAATGAAGTCGTCCGAGAATGTACGCGTCTGTATATTAGCTATCAGTGCTCTGAAAAGAGGCACGCGTTGCTGATTTACCCCGTTGACCTCTTGCGGGAACGGTAATCCAGCTGAGCCCGACATCACCGACCAGATGGCGAGTAGGGATAAATGCGTGAGTAGACAGCACGAGAAAGCAAATAAAACAGATAAGAAGCAACAATAAAAAGATACAGAGTCACTGATACACCGACAGGAGTCGAATATCGAGGGGGTCAGGTGGAGGTGGTGTTGAGAGAGGGGAGGGGGTAAGGTTGCATAAAGTTTGGGGTTTAGAAAGGTCCCGCGGCGAAGGTGGGGAGGAAAGGGGTCACACTGCACGTATGCGAAGGGAAGATACGGTAAAAAGGTATGAATACTGTTTATAATGTCCCTATCCTCAATTCATTGTCCAATCGCATGTCCGCGTCACCCGCTTACAACCCTCAAAACCGTAAAGAAACAGAGAAAACGTAACGCCCATAACCAAAGAAAACTCAAGCATGACACCGCTGTATCGTATACAACCCTTTTCAACGATCCTTGAACACCTCTGTCGCCTCACGCACCCGTCATCGACATACCCTCCGACTTCTCCACCCCCTCAATCTTCATCTTCTTCCTACACGGCTCCGTGGCTTCCCGCTCCAAATGCTCCGCGATTTTAATGGAGCTCACCGGACTCGGCAGTTGCTGAGACACATCAGGCTCCTTTACTTCTTCCTCAGTCTTCGGCGACGTCAGACTTTCCAATTTCTTTCTCTCCATCTCCTTCATGAACGTTCCCTCCTTCTTCTTCCTCCACTCCCGATGCTTCGTATTCATATGCAACATCATACCACGAAAAACCCCCGACTGGACCTCCTTACCCTTCTCGCACTTTTCATATGGACACTTCCAATACACCTGGTGAGCATCCTGGTGCCTCGCCCGAACGTGTTGCACCCAGCCGCGCCGGAACTGGTCTTCGGTGGAAATGAATCTGCAGCCGCTCAAAGGGCAGCGCCAAATGGGTCTCAAGATACGAATCGGTGTTGGAAAGGTACCATGATGATGAGCGCGTTTAATGTGTGCCATGCACCCGAGGAGGGAGGAATGGTTCTCGGGGCACGTCGATACTGTACATGGGTAAATGTATTCTGATTCGTCGTCTGCCGGATTCGGGGGGAGAGGAGGGGCGGGAGGGCGAGATGAGTATGACTTGCCGTTGAGTTGGATACCGGGGTGTTTCTGACCCATGTGGGAAGTGATGCCTTTCAGGGAGAAAGACATTTTGTCGCAACCTGCGACTGAACAGGGCCAGAGGATCGTACCCTTCGTGCAAGAGAAGGAGGGGCGAGGAGGAGGGGCGAGCAACGTCGGGCTCGGGCTCTCGAGTTGTTTCTTCTTGGTGGCCCTAAGTGGAGACGGCGGGGTTATCTTGATTTCGACAAACTGAGTTTCCTCGATGGAGACCGGGGTAATTGGGGAAGGGACTGTGGTATTGTTCGCTGCAGCAGTGCGGTGCTCGTCTATCGTGAGAATGTTGGCACTCGAGGCAGAGTCGATACCGATTTTCAACTGAGGAGCTGTAAGAGGAGCTATCTTTGAGGATAAGCCCCAGGATACAACAAAAGAGTGCACTGGACTCACCAGAGAGCTCGTTTCCTTTCAGATTCGGGGATGTATGCCGTGCTTCCGGACCCAACACAGAGCTCGGAACGGCTCCAAGGTCGTAGCTACTCCTCCACTCCATCCCACACTCCTCAAAATGATTTCGTTCCGCACGCTCCCTCCTCAATCGCTCAACAGTAGTAGGAGGTATAGCAAGTCCCTCCATCCAGAATAAATGCTGCGGTAAAGGAGAAGAATCGAGATCAGCGAAGGAATGAAAGCAGTTAGCGAATAGAGGATAAAACAGATATTGAAGCAGAAGAAGAGAAGGATTCAGTAGGTATTTCCGAGCAATTGCAAGTTTGGTTGTGGGTTTGGTTGGGCCCCTGCAGCTGCCGCGGCGGTCACTTCGTCAGGTTTCCAGGTTTCCCGGTTTCCAGCCAACAATGCGATCGCCCTCGTTGGTCCTCGCCCTCCTCCTAGCAACTCCCGCCCTCGCCTCCACAAACCCTCCTCCCCCCCGTCCCCGCGGCGTCCCCAAATCCAAAGCCTCCCTCTACCTCCCCTCGCCAGATGGTTCCTTCACCTGCCTCGACAACTCAAAGACCATCCCTTTCTCCCGCGTCAACGACGACTACTGCGATTGTCCCGACGGCTCCGACGAGCCGGGTACGTCCGCGTGTGAGAATGGGAAGTTTCATTGCATGAATCGGGGACATGTTCCGGGGTGGTTGTCGAGTTCGCGGGTTGGGGATGGGATATGTGATTATGATGTTTGCTGTGATGGGTCAGACGAGGAGTGGGTATTCCCGGGATTGTGTCCAGACCGCTGTGCGGAGATTGGGAAAGCTGCACGCGAAGCCGAACGGGAGAAACGGAGAATCAACGCAGAGGGGTGGGCGGAGCGGGAGAAACTCGTTGCTGAAGCCGCACAGAAACGCGCGGAGGTCGAGCAAAAACTTGAAGAAGCACGGGCGAAGATCACGGCTGCGAGGCATAGAGAAGCACTCCTCAAGCAAAACCTCGACGAAATCCTCGCTCACGAAGCCACCATCGCAAAACGCCTCGGCTCCGGCGGCGCCGCCGCCGTCGCCCAGAAAGCCCGAGAGAAAATCGCGAGGTATCAGAACGCTATACAGAGTTTACGGGCGGCTATCTCCACCCAACGCGAACGAACCGAAATACTAGAGGGAATCCTCGACGACCTCGCAAAAGGCTACAACCCAAACAACCAAGACATGGCCGTCAAAGCCGCCGTCGTAGGCTGGACCGAGCTCAAAGCCGCCCTCGTCGCTCCTGCAGACAATACAGACGTGAGCATGAATGCTGCCGAGATTCGGGATTTGTTGGAGGAAGAGGATGATTTGGGTGATGTTATTGAGTTATTGGATATGCGCGAAGTCGAGGAAGCCGTGAATTTGTTGTGGAAGATTCGGGCGTATCTCCCCGATCCCGTGAATCAGTATCTCATGTCGACCTACAACACCGTCAAGGAGCAACTGCAGCAATACGGCATCATCTCCTCCCCCGCATCCCCATCCACCTCCTCGCAGGACTCTAAAACAGCGGCTGAAGCCCGCTCCGCACACACCAAAGCATCCCAAGAAATCCGCGACCTATCCGCACAAATCGATCGCGCACAAAAAGATTTGGAGGAGGATTTTGGGCAGGACGGGGTTTGGCGCGCGCTTAAGGGGGTGAAGGTCGAGGTTGTTGTGGGTGAGTATACGTATGAACTCATACTCCTCGAGAAAGCTACACAGCGGTCGAATCGTGACTCGACTCGCTCAAACCTCGGGTCGTTCTCGCGCTTCGAGACCGCCAACAATGGGGGAATAGTACTCGTGTATGAACGAGGCGCAAAATGCTGGAACGGGCCTGATCGGAGTGTCAAGGTGTATATTGAATGTGGAGCTGGGGCTGGGACTGGGACTGGGAAGGAGATGGAGGTTTTGGGGGTTGTGGAGCCGGAGAAGTGTGAGTATGCGATGAGGGTGAGGGGGCCTGTTGGATGTGTGAAGCCGAGTGAACGCGAGGTTGGGCGTAAGGGGAGAGAGGGGACGGATGGAGAGGGGGAGGTGGATGAGAGTGGGTGGCTGGTGTCGGGGAGGGATGAGCTTTAGACATTTCTTTTTTGGGATAGATCCATATGCATTGCCGTTTTACGAATGATAGGATGTGGTTTATCCAATTGTTACTCCACCATCAGTCATCAGAGCACTTTTGTTCCTCAGGAATTGTATTGCGGATGCTTCGAGATCTACACGCCTGGAGTACTAAGAATACATCTCGCACGCTTGCATGACCTTTTATCGACCGTACGATGGGAGGGTGGGAATAGTGCAAGGGTTCTTGCTAATTAGATACCTAGCTGTATCTGTAAATATCCGCTCCTTGTCGTCTTCGACCCTCTCCATCTATGCTATTGCAAATCAGGAACTCCCTTACCCATGCTAAAAACCCACAAAATGAACTCCGATAACGCCAGTAATGCAAAACTTCCTTAACTCATTCCCAATCTCACGCGTGTTCTCTTCGTTCACGTTCACTTCCCACCCGCGGCCGCCTTAGCATTCGCCTTCTCCCTCTCCCTCCTCATCCTCTCTCCCCTCCACCCTGGCCCAAACCTCAGCACAACCCACACAAGCGGCGAACAACACGCACAAACCCCAATCAACACCACGAACCCCCATCCAGCACCCAACCGACTCCCCAACATCTCATCCACAACAGCCGTCCCCACCGCTCCGAGTGCGCACCGCACGAAATTGTTGGCTGCGGTGGCGGACGAACCACGACCCGGGAAGAGATCGACGACGAGGGTGCCGAAGGTGTTGAAGATGGATGTTGCGGAGTAGCCGATGATGAACTGGAAGATGAGGGGGGCGGAGATGTGGACGCGTTTTTCGATGGTCCAGCCGTAGGCGATGCAGCCTCCTCCGAAACAGAGACATAGCCACCACAAACTCCTTAACCTCGCTCTCTCAATCGGGAACGAATCATCCCCGTCTGCTTCATTCTCGTGATGGCCCTCCCGTTCCCACCGCGCCTTAGTAATACGGTAATCCCAATCCAGAATCCGACCCTGCAGAATCGATCCAACCAAACATCCCGTACCATTCGCGAGGAAGGTCAACCCAACCTCCGTCTCATTCAACCCATACTTATCCTCGAAGATGACGGATGTGGATGCGGTGACCATATACCACACCCCATAAAACACACCCGAGAACAACAACGCACAAGCAACATCCTTCTCCTTCAAAATTGCCAACGGCGCAATTGGATTCGGAAATCGAAACTTGGGTCGTTCCGCGCGACGACTGTGTACCCTCTCCAACCCACTCTTCCTTCTTCTCCTCCTCCGCCTCGCCAACTCCCACAAACTCACATTCACACCCCGTGCCTCAACACTCCCATCCCCAACAATCGCCCTAAGCGTCTCCGGCAAGCACCCCACTAAAAACCCCAAAAACACACCCCCACTAATCGCTAAAAACCAGAAAATAGCACGCCAGCCATATTTATCCGCCAACGCCCCTCCAATAACGGGTCCGATACACGGTCCGAGCATGGGTCCGACATTGAACCATCCCATTGCGCCGCCGCGGCGTCCGCGGGGTACGACGTCGCCCACCATGCCTGCGCCTACGGCTATGACGGATGCTGCACCGGCTGCTTGAAGAGCGCGGAGGATGAGGAGTGCTGCGTAGGAGTTTTGTACCGCGAGGGCGATGTTGGCGGGGATGTACACCAAGAACGTCAACACATAAATCGGTCGTCGGCCGAGCGTATCTGTGAGGGACCCGTAGAGGGTTGGAGAGATAGCCTGTGACAGCATGTAGGTCGTGATGGAGAGGTTGATTCGAGTGGGTGTTGTATGGAAATGTGTCGCGAGTTGGGAGATGGCGGGGAAGTAGATGTTTGCGCTCAACGGGCTAAACAAACCCGCGAGCGCGGCCATGAAGATGATGAAATTGACTTTGCGCTTCGAAAAGGTTGAGTATGGTGGTGGTGTCGAAGGTTGTGATTCGAGATCGACGACGATGCTGTCGGCTTTGACGAGTGGGTCGATGGAGGGTATGTCCGTTGCGCCTTCGCGAACACCTGTCGCCATTGGTCTAAGCTCATAATCATCCGGACTCGTCGCACCCGTCGACGTCGACGGACGGTCTCGTTCTTCGTTCTCTTCTGCAGCTGCCATTGTACTTGGTTATTCTTACTTCGTCAACAGTTCCCTCGAATAATCTTAGGGAGCTCCGAGCGTCGGGGCTGAAATGAAGGACCCGCGCTGGGATGAGTGTGGCAACACGTGCCGAGATTGCCGATCTGTTAACAAGATAAATTCAAAGGGAGTTATTTGGCGAACCGACCATATCCCATAACAATGCATATCATATCCAATCCATCCCAATCAAAACCTCCCAGCAACACCCCTCGCCCTCGCCCTAGCAATCCTCTCCTCCGGCAACAACGCCTCCTCCCCTCCCACTCCCCCAAACTCCCCCGCCCCGACCACAGGCGACGCTGACGATCCCCTTACTTTAGCGAGTGCGATCCGCTCCTCGGGTAACATAGCTTTCGCAAGATGCGCTCCAATCGGTAACGCACTCCCCGTACTCACGCCCTCATGCTGGACTCCAGATGGTGCACTAATACTAACACTAACACCACCCTTGACTTTCGAACCCTTGCTGGAGGAGACGCCGCCCATGAGTTTCTTGGTTGTTTTGGTGGCGGTACGGGAGAGGGAGGAGACGGAGATTGATTTGGCGAATTTCGACATGGAGAGGGAGCTTGAGCCGCGTTTGAGGAGGGTTAGGGTGTCGTCGAGGATTGGGGCGGAGATGGTGATTGTTGGGCGGGGTGCGTGGGTAGATGATGAGGTGGAGGAGATGGTCGATAACGTGGCACTCGATCTTGTTGATGGCCTCATCTGGGTCATACCCGCGTCCGGACCCCTCAAGCTCGAGATGGATGATGCGGTAGACGTAGGCCCCTGCGAAACCGTACCCCTCACTGGTATCGAAGGTGCGATAGACCCCGTCGTCGACACCGACGCGGACCGTAACCCGTAGTTCGCGGCTTGTTGTAGCGGCATAACCCCCATCGTCCCCGCTGAGATTGAAGAAGAAGCAGAACCTGACAAAGATTCTTCACGGCCCTCAATCATCTCCGCTAACTCCGCCATGAGTTCGTCGACATTGACCGTGTCGACAGGGACGTGACCGATGCTAGAGATCTCCTCCTCCCTGATCTCGGCGTCATCATCGGCTAGCATGGCGATACCGGAATCGACTGTATCGGACTTCGTCATCCCCTTCGCGTTTCCCTCTTCGGATTTGAATGGATTCGAAAACAGTGCGAGTGGAACTGCAACGACCCCTTCGTCATCGAATGATAGTTGACGAATAATCTTATTCCAGACAGCTTCCGTCGGACTGGAGCTGTTTGACATCCCAGCACACGGCTCTCGCTCCTCGCGCCATTCCCACATACTATCTCTCCTCGCACTACTTCGTCACATCGACCCAACTCCACTCCCAGCACGAGAATACCGTCCGCCTTCGTTTATCGAGCCCGAGCCCGAGCCCGATTCCGATTCCGATTCAGAAACCGAACCGCGAAGTTCTTTCGTGAGCATAGCCATCAACCCGCCAATTCCGCCTCCGGGACGAGGTAGCGTCGGGGAATCGAGGTCGTAGGCGAGGTTTGGTCGTGGTAGGGTCGGTGATTCGCATCCCGTATCCTCGATATGCTCTTCTCTCACGACGACGTACCCGATTTTGATGTCTCCCTCGTCCGGGAGAGGCTGTGAGGATGAGGAGGCTCGGAGGAATGAAAAACGATCGGATAAATGCGGGAAGATCTCCTCGGATACGTTCTCTGCGACGAAACCGACGTCGAGGTGGGGGGTTGGTGATGATGCTGCAGGAGGGCGGGTGAGGAGGAGGGGTGGGGTTGGTGACGGGGATGCTTGCCGGGCATTGAGTCTCTTCAGCATTGTGTCGTCCGAGAAGTCGATACCCTTTACTGTATGCTGTCGGTGGTAGTCAGTCGTGTCAAGGTCAAAGTCTCAATCGCATCCACCACCGAACAGATAAACACAGAACAAGAGCAAATCAGAAAAGTGCTACGCAAAAGCCGTTTCTCCTTAACCTTTGTGCTGCTTGTCACAGGTTGTTCGATTCCCTTTGTGGAGGTGACTTTGGAGGTCCCCTTTGGTGTTGCGCGCGGCAGGCGGGCGTTCGTTCCCTTTGAGATTGAAGCGGCACTGCAAGCAGCTGATGGAGGAGAAGGGAGAAGCTGTACGACCATGTATTTACATCACAAACCATTGTGAGTGTATGCACCTGAACGATTGGTGATGCGGTATTCTCGGTATATTCCTTAATGCTCGATACTCATACATCCAACTCCATGGACAGTCCCGCTCGCCAACATTGCTCCTCAGCAGAACCGCTCACTTCTTCTCGGGTGGGTTCTGCTCGCAGCACTTACAGCTCTGGTTATGCGCACCACACGCACACTTCCCTAACACCAACCCAAGTTAGCCATCCGTCGCGTTGAGTGGCTTGTCGTGATACATACCAGCCGGACACCTACACCCCCTCTCATCGCCCCCACAATCACACGTAGACACGGGCGCAGCCATCTGCCCCACGGAGGTATTTGCGAATTCGGCGGAGGGCATGATATTGTCTTGCTTGCTGGACATCCTTGGTTGGACCTTGGTGGTTAGATGCACAAACTATAGTGCATGTGAGAGTACGTCAACACAGTACGTGACATCGCAACAGCCTGGAGCTCAGTTCTGAGGCCCTTGGGTAGCTTAGATCCTTCCTCGGGGTCACTCCTCGGTTTCATCAACATTTCCAACAGGCGATTGTCCAAACCTAAAGGCCTTGGTGAATACAGCCGGCCCGTCCCGCAAAGTCGGTAGCGGTCCGCGTAGGTACTGTAACGTTCACTCGACACCAAGCGAGCGGGCCGGGCATTAAATCACAAACACACCTACAGCTGACCGAGGCCCTAGGCCCGACGAATGGTCGACGGCCCGAAGGTTTCGTAGGTGGCTTTGCAGGTGTTGCGGCCGAGATGGGGATATATATAACAGTTGAGGGCGACCCTGTCCGAGACGACACACGACGTTGATCAAGATGTTCTCAGGATTCACGGAGATCGTATGCCAGATCCATCCATCATCGCCCCTACTTGTCAACCTACTGACAACCAACATTTACAGTTCTCAAACTCTTACGGCTCCGGCACCCTCGGTACCAACACCCAACCCGCTCACCCCCAATACCAACAGCACCGTCCCCCTCCCATTTCCACTCCCTCGTACCACTCCCAGTACAACGCCTACGACCCACACACTGCATCCTCCGCCTCAGCCCCGGGAACAGCCGACTATCTCCTCCAACCCTCCCCACCCTTCCCACGCAGCCCACCGACGACATACGATCAACACGTTGCACCACAGCAACAACCGCTGTTGAGTCCGAATGATCCGGCGCATGATTTTGATCCGGTGAGTGGGAGGTATACGGTTAGGCCGGTTCCCGGGGGTGGATTGAGGAGGGGAGAAAGTACGTTGAAGGAGGGGTTTGGTGGTGGTGGTGGTGGTGGGGATATGTTTGAGTTGGGGGAGAGGGGGTCGGAGGTTGAGTATGGGTATAGGCCTGCCCATGCCGATGCTGCCGGACGCAGTATGGGCATCAGTGGGCCAGAAGACCGACTCGCTGCCGAAGACTACAAGTTGAAGAGGTCGATCCGCGCTGTTCGCTTTGGGATGAGGTGTTTGGTGTTGGTGTGTTCTACGGTCGTGGTAGCGCTTTTTGCGCATAATCTGGCGGTGTATAATCGGACGAAGCATATTCAGGGGATGTGGCCTCACAAGGATAGTGGTGGAGCGTTGATTTGGAGTTCGGTGTTGTTGTTGGTTGTGGCGTGTATCTCGACGGCGACTTCTATTGGTGAGTCATCTTTTCCATTTTATCTCCTGCTTCTGTCAATGGGGAGAAGAGCGGGGGCAGTAAGCTGACTATGGATGTAGTCATCCTGGCATCGTACTGCTGGTCAGTCAAGATCGCAAACAGATTGGCACTCGGCCACACCGCCTTCGACCTTGTCTTCGGCATAGTCTCACTCTTCATCTGGGGCCTGACCGGAGGCCTTTTCAAACAAACAGACTCTAACCCTCGCTCGCTTTGGCAATGGGCATGTCATCCGGCAAAGGCAGGGAGGGATACAAGTATTGCGGGGATGTCGGACGTGAACTGGCAGCAGTACTGCAAGGAGCAGGATTGGAACTGGGTTTGTGCGTTATTGAATATTGCCTTCGAGGCAACTATGATCGCAATCTCTTTCGGGGTATACTACCTTGTTTGGAGGAGAACGAAGGTGAAGAAGAGTATCATTGCGAGGGGTGGGCTGGCCCCTAGTCCGGCATGAAGCGCACCGATGAAGAGCCTATGACTACGCACACACTCGTTGTATAGCTATAGCTGTTGTACATGTACGAGATCCGAATGTCCAAAACTTCGAGTTCGTCGAGGACGTGGTACTATTTATAGAAGCTTGCCGCTCCGGGAAATTCGGGGAGCCTTTTAGTATGCCACTAAGATCCATAGGGTCACCCCACCACGATCCCAGCCAACTTAGACGCTGTTAACGTTTGGGGTAGCCGACCAGCGAGTCCATCGATCCGACGACTTCAGGACGACATTCAGGCTCGGCTTTGTTGGCTTGCGACCGTTTTCACAGTCGGAGATTACTGGGACCAGCCATTGCTACTGCTTGAAGAACACGTGCCGAGCGAGAGCCATCGCCGTACGCGCGTTGAGCCGAGGACGAGATTCCAACATCGATCGACCAAGTCCGTTGACTTCGACCGAAGATTTTGACTGAGGTATATCTTGGAAGAGTGCGCTTGACCTTACACAGCTCTATACCACTCTGCATCGTCCGAGGATGGGTAACGCTTCAACGAAGCACTCGCTAAACCGCACCCCCTCCCTCCCCAACCCAAATAATCCACATACTCACCGTCAGCGTGCTCCTTCGCGGCCGGCTCTGTCTCCGCTCGATCCAAGTATCACGTCCATCGATGGCGGATATCTCCAACCGCAAGGAGTCTACGCAACGCAGGATTACGACTTGGTTCGGGTACAGCATCAAATATACCATCGACGTGTCGCGCCGTTTTATATCGGTCTACCAGATTTTGAGGAGGACTGGACGGAAGAAGAGTTGGCGAAGGCAGTGCAATTCGCGGAAGATGCAGCGGGTGCGAAGAGACGACAGGCGCGTGCCGAGGAGGAAGGAAAAGAGAAGGAGAAAGACAAAGAAGGGAAGAGACGAAGTACCAGCATCTCAAACACCGAACTGCTGAGCGTTCCCTCGCCCTCGAAATCTCGACCACGAGCAGTGACGATGGGATCAACCGATTCCGTCCACCGCGTCGGCCCCGCAAGACCCACCCACGGAAACAGAATCAACCGTCCCTCCCCCCACACAATCTGGAAAAACGCCCTCGAATGCCCCATCTGTTTCCTCTTTTACCCACCCAATATCAACCACACACGCTGTTGTGCACAACCCATCTGCACCGAATGCTTCGTCCAAATCAAGCGTCCCGATCCGGCGCCGTCGACGACGCCTCCTTATGGGCTGGAGTCCACGCCGGCTACGTGTCCGTTCTGCGTGGAGGGTGAGTTTGGGGTCGTGTACGAGAAGCCAGGCTGGGCTGGCGAACGGTCTGGGCGGAGTCGGAGTCCGAGTATGTTGGAGGTTGCGGAGGCGGCGGGGCTTGGAGGGGAGGGGGAGAGTAACGAGGCGGCGTTGCCTGTCCCTGGTCCGCCTGTGCGGATTAGTTCGACGGGGATGAAAACGTACCCGGCGAACCACCCCGCCGTAACACTCACGGACCTCCTCCGCCCGAACTGGGAATCAGATCTTCTGCGCGCGAGAGCGAGGGCGGCGAGGAGGGCTGCTGCGCAGGCGCAGTTACAGAATTTCCAGTTGACCGCGAGGGAGCGGGAGAGAGAGGAGAGGAGGCGGTTGAGGAGGGAGGGGAGAGAGAGGGAGAGGGAGGCGACTGGACGGATGGGGAGGGAGGAGTTGGAGGAGATGATGGTTGCGGAGGCTATGAGGTTGAGTTTGAGGGAGACGGAGGAGAGGCAGAGGAGGGGGAGTTCGAGTAGGTAAAGCCACTCGAGTCTTCTACCGAGCGAGTCTGAGACGCGCGTGGTTGATGAAGAATGGGCTGTTTGCTAAGTATATTATAGGGGGATCGCGAATGCCTTTGGGTGATGAGGGTGACATATGCAGACTAGGCTATGGGTTTTGGTATAGCTAGGCGCTGGCGTTTTTCTTTCGTCTTTTCTTTTTCCTTTGGTCTCAAACTACGTTGATCGGGAGTTCGTTCATTGCTCGTACACGATAGCATACCTTTAGGGTGGACGAAGCCTTCAGTCCTTTGGTTCGAGTTCGAATAAACCTAACCTTCTCTTTTGCTTGACTTGTGGAACCTGCAATTGTACATGTCCCATGGCCAAGTGCTGCGTGTATTGTCGCGGATCTTTGTTTACCGAGGATCGATCCGTAAACTCCGTGCTTTGTCATTGAAGCTCCGAGGGTTTGAACTACGTGTTGGAGCCGTTTAGTACCACTCACGGACCAACAGCATACGGTCTTCGAAGGCTTCAGAATCTTCAACCATTCATCCCAGAATGAGCAGACTGTATTCAGTACACCGGCAACACGTCCAATTAAAAATTCCCACGGGTAGCCATGCCTGACGGGTTTATTGACTTTGAAGGTAACTAGGATAGGTAGGGAGAGGTGCAGCGATTATACACGGAGGCAGCTGGGCCATGCTTCCGTGCTGTGTACTTACAATTGACTTGAGCGCATTACAGGTGCTTTGCATTAGGATGTCAAACGGAACACGATGCGAAAATGAGTTTAGGGGAACAGTGCGAATATCTGCCAGTTTCTTGATTGTTGCTATAAAAATTTTGTGCTGTTCTCTGACATCAACAGCCGCAATGGTCTAGTGGTATGATTGTCGCTTAGGGTTTCCTAAAGCTTGTGACAGGTCCCCGGTTCGAACCCGGGTTGCGGCCCACTCTTTTGCGTTTTGCAGCTCTTACCCCCGTTGCTTTGTTGCATTGGGAGGTGATTGTAGGCCGAGGAAGCCTTTCGAGGATGTGACTTGAAGCGCACATGAAGGCCATTACTTTTCCCGTCGTGGAAGACGCACTATGGATTATCATCCCGTCCCGTCAGATGCAGATGTGTAACTGTAACTTGTGTTTGTCCGCCGGCTTGGTATGACAACGCCCAGTCAATAGCTACAAATACGGTCTTCTGATTAGAGTTTTGCCAAGCTTGATGTGTCTCTTGGGCTTCCTGGGATATTGTCGACTGGCTTGCGGCACTCGAGCTTGGCTGCCCGCGCGCGCACTCACCTTGGCGGGGGCGTAGCGAGCGAGCTTCTGTGCGCTTTGTTTCGAGAGAACTCAGCCTACCAATTGAGGTTGTTTTGCTACCATGACTGCAGGTAGATTGCCTTCTCCTTTCTCGGGGTGTAATGGCAGGACGACGGGTTGTCAGTATCGCCCTTGCTCTCGCTTCAAATGAATGCTTACGCCCAAAGCGGCGCACGAGCGCCGAGCCGTCCTGAGACCCCTCGATGTGCTCTTGTCCCCGCTTTCCCTGAGTGATCGTACCGCCCTGTCTTGCAGCCGTCGCCCAACCCACGGCTCGCCTCATTGCTGCCAAGGATAAGCATAGGGACTTGCAGATGTCAAGGTCATCTCATCTCGTCCAAGAAAGTCTAATCGATGATCGATGGAGGGGACATATGTCCATTGCGTCACTCGCACAAGACTGCGCACGCGCGTCTGACTCTCGTTGAGGGTTTTAAGCTTAGGGTTAAGCGACGCTGCCTTTCGTCGTGTACACGGCAATTGCGAAACGGCCGCGGGGCAATCTCCACGTCTCGGTCAACTGGGATTGTCTAGACTTTCTATTTGCAGGGTCTGCGTTCTTCTGGCCAATCACCGCGCAGTGCTAAGGATATGCTTAAATTGAGGCTTGCCCTGAGGTTGGGGTAGTCTTAGTGCAACACTACTCGATCGAGAGGCTCAGCGGTGGGACGACGTTCCTCATAAGGACCCCAGGACCCCTTGCCATTGGTAGGCAGCACCAACACGACGGACGAGGACAACGGCAGTCAGTACGCTCCCTACCACCTTCTCTCATTGCAATCGGTCACTGTAAAGCAATGGTCGCAAGGAGCACCGGCGAGATCAGACCGCCCAAGTTACCTCCCGCACTCGAGACGACGAGCCTGCTGGATGGAGGAGCGGAAGAGGAGGATGAGGTTGACCAGACGGGACCCGACCCGGAGGTTTCTGCTGTTGAGGAACGTGCGGATGAGGAAAGGCTTTATGGCAAGGAAGGATGGGGACGTGAGAAAGGTGCGCATACATCCCCAATTCGATGGCATACACTCCAGCCAGATGTCAATTGGGTTTCATTGAACGAATGAATGCTAATTCAGTTTGTCAGACATCTCCGCCGGAACTCGGTTAGGTGCGATCTTCATGCTCCTCTTCACACCCACGCTTTCCTTCTACTTCCTGGCCTCCTGTACCAACTATCAATGCTCGCTTTCGGCCCCTATCTGGGATATCTTCCACTCTGCTCACCCGATGCAAACTTGGTTGAGTTGGTTCCCGACGCCGACGTGGAGAGCGAGTATCGGATACGCGCTTTGGGTCATCACACAGGGTATCCTGTATGTGATTGTACCGGGCAAGATCGGATACGGTCAGCGTACGCCTGCGGGATACTTGTTGCCGTATAGGGTTAACGGGTTGAATGTCTACATCCTCACTCACGTCGCTTTCGCCGTTTCGGTCTACTACGGTATCATCTCCGCTGGCATTATCGCGCACCACTGGCAAGGTCTATTCGTGGCCGCCAACGTTTACGGATACCTCCTCACTATCTTCGCCTACGTCAAAGCGCGCTATTGGCCTTCTCACCCCGAGGACAGGAAGTGGTCTGGAAGTATCTGGTATGATTTGATGATGGGTGTTGAGTTCAACCCCCGTATCGGCAAGTTGTGGGACTTCAAGTTGTTCCACAATGGAAGACCTGGTATCATCGCGTGGACCCTCATTGACATCTCCTTCGCTGGAGCGCAGTATGAGAAGCTCGGTTACGTTACCAACTCTATGTGGTTGGTTATCTTCTTGCATGGATTGTACGTTGTCGACTTTTTCTACAACGAGGATTGGTACTTGAGGACCATCGACATTGCGCACGACCACTTCGGGTATTACCTCGCTTGGGGAGACACCGTTTGGTTGCCCTTCATGTACACCTTGCAGGCGCAGTACCTCTTCTACAACCCTATCGACTTGGAGTGGTACGCCGCGGTCGCGGTCTTCAGCCTCGGTGTCGGCGGCTACTGGATCTTCCGCACTGCGAACCACCAGAAGGATCTCGTCCGCAGCACGGACGGAAAATGTACCATTTGGGGCAAGCCCGCACAGGTGATCAGAACCGTCTACGTCACCTCCGACGGCGCCGTCCACAAATCCCTCCTCCTCGTCTCTGGCTTTTGGGGTTGGAGTCACCAATTCAACTACGTTGGTGACCTCCTTCTCTCGTTCGCGATGTGTGCTGCGTGTGGCTTGCATCACCTTTTGCCGTACTTTTACATCATTTATATGTTTATTCTGTTGAATCATCGGATTTGGAGGAGTGAGAAGAGGTGTCGGGCGAAGTATGGGAAGTATTGGGAGGAGTATTGTGAGAGGGTGCCGTACAAGTTGATTCCGGGTGTGTATTAGGTGGATAGCGGAGGACGGAGACATCGAGTGTCAGGAAGGATGAAGAAGGAAGAGGAGCGTGTATGGTATGAAGATACCCCGTTACGATGGACGTGTTGTGGACGCAAGGATAGGCGGGCCCGGGGCTTGGGTCTTCTTTTATCGTTTTGATTGGCTTTTACTTTGAGTACTGTTACTTCTATCAAGGACAAGACCCGCTGAGCGGGCGAATGAATTGACATTGTTGTACATTGAAATAATACTTTATTTAAGAATATCACCCCATGAAAATAGCATGGCCGACCGTGCGGGCCACTCGAAGTGTGAAGGCGGAGAAGGACGTGGGCTGAGGGGGTAATCGATACCAGAACGTGATGCAAACAGGTGGATCTTTGCCCTTCCCCCAACTTCGGCTTGGGTAACCCTAGGGTTAGGGTTAGGGTTAGGGTTAGGGTTAGGGTTAGGGTTAGGGTTAGGGTTAGGGTTAGGGTTAGGGTTAGGGTTAGGGTTAGGGTTAGGGTTAGGGTTAGGGTTAGGGTTAGGGTTAGGGTT